CCTAAAATGTTTTTGTGGTATAAGCTTTCAGATATCAAAGTAGGTGATCCTAAAGGTTCCCCTAATCTTAAAAAGCCAGTCAAGGCTGCTTGGAGAGTTTCTATTAAGACTGATTGTAAACCGAATTTGGTTCTCCCACACAAATTTACTCACAGGAAAGGAGTTTTGACATAACTAAAAAGTTTTTCCTTTTATAGACCAGTGGATGTCGGATTCTTCTGTCATCTGCCTTTGCTACTCCCCTGAAATTATTTTCATGACACATTTCTTTCAAACTATCTTCTTGTGGTCCCCCATAGCAATTGCAGCCTGCCTCAGATCTCTCCCTCCACGGTTAAACTCCCCATACCCACTCCATGATGCACTGTGTCCTACGACAGGAGAACCGTGAGAGGTGGTGTACATCGTGAGAGAAGTGAATTCAGGCTGTGTGGAAGAGGTTTTGATGATACATTTCAGTGCCTTGCTGACTTGCATGTTTGTACTTGAAAGGTCAAAATTGGAGGAATGAAAGTCCTGTTTTTCTCATCTAGTTCTGTCTAGGTGTTTATATGGTTAAGTCAAGCTTTATAATGCTTCCATGAGACTTAAAGGGTAATTGTCTTAGTCATAGTTAAGAAAAACACAGATATTTTCTTGAGGACACAACTTTGTATCTCTGCTAGTTGTTTTAAGTGTGGGGCCTGAATTTTTACATTGAGTGGTCTTTTAAGATCTTTTAAAAATGGCTAAAAGTAACATTGAGGTACACTGCTATCTTCATCTTTCCCAAGGAATTCCTACCTCTACCATTATTTGCAGATTTGTGTTTGGTCTGTTCTTCCATGCTGGCAGTTGCACTGCCTTTGCAGCCTTTCGCAGTTCAGTGCTTTATTTTCTTTATCCTTGGGTGGGTTTTCATGTCTAGCTTGTCTGCCAGGTTACAGCACAAGAGTTTTACTTTTTGTGTTTTGTGTTATGTGCATAGGGAACATTTTTCACCAATCCTGTATCTAACAAACTTCTGTGTACTTAAGGATGGTTATACATGGTGCTCTCTTTTGTCTTAGCAGTCTCATTCGTCTGTCATTCTCTGGAGGTCTTACTTTTTTTAAATTTTTTTTCTTATTGATGGACCACTTAACCTCAATTGAACTAATAAACTAAAACTTTCCTGATTAAATGGAAAGAATTCAGCAGGGTTCACTGTCTAACTGTATGAATATTTGTTTAAACACAAGGCAAAACAGAATTACTTCTTTCAGCAGGCTTGTGCTAACATAAAACACTTGTGGTGATACATTTTAGCTTTGGGAGCTTTTCAGCATAACGCTGGAAGATAACTGACTCTGACACTAAGTTAGTTCTGAAGAGGTCCCTGATGGTGTGTAAGCATGCTACACGGCAGCTACAGATTATTTTAGCAATGATAATTTGATTGTAGGAAAATATATTTCTTGTAGAAAAGGTATGCAATCTAATTTTTATTTTCCAGTGTTCATAAAACATAAATGTTACCTCTCATAAGAGTGTTTTTTATAAATCCAAGTTGACCTCAGTATTAAGTAAGCTTACTGCATTTTTCTGTGGAGGATATGTTTGGAAGTGTGCTGCAGAAAGTTTTTACCTGTAGACACATGCTAAGAAAAATATATTACTGATACCTAAAACCTCAGAGACTTGAATGCAGGTAAAGCAGGTCTACGTTTTTAACTATAACAGTTAAGGAGTCTGGGGCTGTCATAATTCATGACTTCTGAAATCTGTGGCTCAGCATTGCTCTTTACCTCTAGAGTTTGGTGATTTACAGTAGACCTGACTGGAAATGATGAAAATGTCATTTAAAATATGAACAGTGACCTGCCTTTTACAGACCCATCCAAAATTACCTCATGATTAATCTACAAAAACCTCATAAAGCCCACATCCTTGTTTATTATTTGGAGCAATGCTTGTTTGCATGAGGTCGTGGTATGACCTGTTTTGCATAGTGAAGTGTGTAGCTAAAAGAACGGAAATCAAAGGTCTTAATAGGATTGATTTTGTAAGCCATTTGTTTTTTAGAGGAGATGGATGAGTGAGTTGAGCTACCTATGTTATTTAAAACTGGCCTTGAAATAATTTCATCACTGATTCAGTCATGAGGGACAAACTGCAGTTTTAATCTTTCATGTTATTACCAGCATTTGCAAAGTATCAGGACGCTGTAGGAATTAAGATGAACTCTGCCAGCTTTAGAAGCTACCATAAGGACATAAGGATTTTTGCCTATGCTCTAATTTAATTTTCTGCTGTATTGAAGACATTCTGTATCAAGTTTTTATGGTGTGTTTAAAAGGTGGGGCAACTTGTACGAAGGCGAGGCTCTCATGATGCACGTAATTTCATTTTGTGGTATGGAAGTATTTAGAAATCATGGTGACGTTTGCTGAACTGTGCTGTTTGCTAAATGCAAATAACTCTATCAGACTGTATAGACTGCCTTTTTGTTCCACTGTTTTTAATCTGGTTTTGTATTTCTGTTTTTTTTCACATGCACTTGGCTATCTATTCCTTGCACAGTTTTTCCTTTTTCTTAAGGAAGTCTAATGGACTGTGTAGAGATCACAGGCATTAGTAGACTTACTATTATGATTAACTGCACCTGTTCCTGCAGTTGTGGCCTGTTGAGAAATTGTTGAGATGTGAAAAAGAATATCTGCAGTACATTTGGAGTCTGTGTCAGATCTTGTCAAGACCATTATTAGGCTGCACTTGTCCTGTTGATTTATTGTATTTTTAAACCTGTCTTTAAGTTAGCGTCACTGCAAAGCTGAAACAGTGGCCTGATTTTGATTACCTCATATGCTGGTGTCAGCCAGGAGTGAGCTGTATTGACGTAAGTGAAGTTCAGGTGTGTAAAAGCAGTGTGAAAGGAGAATCTCATTCAGAGTATTACAGCTCTGTAGTCTGAATGTGGTCTTCTCTGGCATTTCCCTCTGATCCACTTGTAGATGGCTATACAGAGTGAGAGCGAAGATTCAGCTAGGTCTTTTACAGTTTTTAAGATTGTCTGTTATTTGAAATGTCATTAAAGGCGCTAAGAAACTGGGCAGTTATGGAGCGATCTTTTCCTCTGTGTATCTTCGCAGCTACTGAAGCCTGGTCAGACTTTCTGAGGTATAAATTTTTCTCGTAGGAGTACAGCTGTTCAGGCAGCTGTAATAGCCAAAAGCTCCTTCTTATGTGGGACCAGTATTTGCTGTGACAGCATTTTCTAGCCTTGTTAATTATCTAGGGCCTCCTTGGCTGCTGGTGTGGGTGTTCTGGTAGGCTCCAGTGCCTTTTGGGGGTCACCCTGCACGGTGTGTTGAGTGCAGGTGAGGCCAGGGCTTGGTTTAAATAGCTGGTCCTGGGGTTTATAGAGCATCCCTGACTGCAGTACATTATAACTGAAGCAAAACCCATTCTGAGGAGGAGTTTTCTAAGGCAGGATGTCATTGGATATAGCCATTTCTTGGCTTCTCTGAGTTTTTTCTTCTTCTGCTTTAAGGGCGGATTTGGACATCTGTGTTCTTTGGCTATTAAGCCAGAATTGTTTCAGCTTCAGAGGGTATTTGAAGAACAGTCCTGGGATGATGACTGTAAAAGAGAGGAGGGAGAGAGAGGAAAATGACCTATGTTTGCAGATTTTTGTCACATGGTTTCAGAGGGGGTGGGTGATTTGCTTATCCAAATCCTAGTTCGGTTTGAAGTCAGTGGCCTGTTTATAGTGCATGTGTAAACCCACTACATATACTTACATGCAAGATGGGAAATCCAACTGCCTGGTCCATAGCTATCAGAGAAGTTGCTTTGTCATGGGAAGCCACTGCAAGCTCTAAGTGTGACATCTATGAAGTTCTTAGAATATGCTGTGTTTTAAACACTGCCAGGTTTGAACTTAAGCATAAAATAAAACAGGCTCTGGCTGAATTACTCTGTCTATGTGAGCTTTTTCTCCTTAAGAAACTGCATAGACAAGCCTGAGGTCATGTTTCCTCAGGTTCTGCATTCACATCCATGCAATGCCAAGGCCTGTACTCTGAAGACAGTGTACATTTCAGATTTAAACAGTTCTCACTGGCCTCTGTTGGAGCTGTTCCAAGTTGTGCATGAATCAGAATCAGGCTTTATTCCTTTATAATAGTTAAATGTCATACAAAATACTTTAATCTGTTAAAAATTTGTGGCTACTTTAGATAGACCTACTTAGAAAAGCAGAAAGACAAATTTGAGATGCAGATAACGAGTCAAGTTTTTGCATGTCATCTGAGAGCTGATAACTCTATACATGTTCTTAGCCTGTCACAAATACACAGTACTACAGTGAAACAGTCTCCTACTTGGTTTACCCACATGATAATGAGTTAAAATCATACAGGGAAGTCTCTGCCCGACGTTCACTAGCAATTAGTTCTCCTTCACAGGTGAAAGTGAAGGCCCTAAGTAATAAGGATGAATCTAAGAAAATATTTCAGAATTCCATAATACATTACCTTTCCCTTAATTTTACTTAGTTGATTTAAACACCATGATCCATCATTTTCCTTCAGACATCAATTACCTTCCATTTTATTCCTGTCATGTAAACTGTGTCCCAAAACACTATACACAAATTGTGATATGTGGTGTTACGATGATAAGAGTCAAAAGGATACCAGTTTATTACTTGTAATGGCTTTAAATTATTTTTACATTTACCCATATTTCTTGTGTTTCCTTGTTCATATTGATTGATTGTCCATATTTCTTGCCAAACTGGCTGATTTTGCTTTGAGATTCCATTTTGGAGCTAGTTTTGCCTTCCCTCAGACTGCCTCCTCCTCATTCATCATCCCATTTGCAATGTCTTTAGTGCGGCCCATCAAGGGTAGGTATTTTCAAAAAGCTTTTTTTCTTTCATAGCTTTAATGCCTAATTAAATAGATGGTTGCTAAGAGATTGTGGAAAACATCATTAAGAGGGTCTAATTTGCTTTTTTGCTTACCTTCCATGCACAGGTTTCAGATCAGAATTTACGAGTACATGGGGTAGCAGCATCCCAAAATAATCCTGAGCTGAGATTGAGACAATGGACAGAATACAAGGAGACTGTGCCAGTCCTGTGCCACCAGGAGATGCAGAGGGGGGCAGGACTGGAGAACAAGACCCAGAACTAACTGTGTTGGGGAAAGCACAAGAGTTCTTTCAGATTTGTGATCTGGAAGGCAAAGGCTTCGTCACTCGTCAAGACATGCAGGTAAAACAAAATTGGTTATGTGAAATGCGCAGTGAGAGAAGCTCCTAATGCCCTTAATGAGTTGAAACAGATTAATTTAGAGTTAAAAATGTTATCACCCTTCTCATAACTTTAAACAGATATATGGAATTTAAAATAATATATTTGAAGTCTTACATAATGCCTGATTTTTTTTTTTCAGTCAAAGCAAAAAAAAAAAAAAAGTGGAAAATCAAAGTAAGTGAAGTTTAAAAAAATTCCCTGGGAATTTAATTTGTTTCTCATCGAAGAAGTTGAAACACCAGTAAATTAATTACTTTGCAGTTTGCCTCAGTGTCATGAATGTATTCAGTCCATCAATTTTATCCTTCTGTATTTTCAGTAAAATTGTGTAAATAAAGTCTTTCCCCTTGGTTTCACTGCTCGACAATGGTGAACTCTCGTCTGATCACATATAAATATAGGAAGCATAGAGGAACAGTATTTTTAGCATTATTCAGTACTTGCAGTAATCTTATCTATTTGTGTTTAATTTGTTTGAGGATCCAAAATCAGATTTGCTTAAAATGTTGACAAAAAAAGCAACTATATATAACAGAATCTTTTGAAAATGTGATTGGGTGCATACTGCAGAACTGATAAGATGATTTGAACCAGGATGTGGCAGAAAACAAGTATATACTCACGAGTGACGTGCAAATCATAATTTAATTGTGTTAATCCATTTCTACTTCAGTACTTACGGATAAAGTAGAATTGGGGTTTGGGAGCAAAATGAATTACTTGCAAAGAACTATCAAAGAAAGCAAGTAATGTAAAATTTAGAAACCTTCCATGTCCTCAGAAACAAAGTTGTGTCTGTATAAAGGAAACAATTTTAGCTACCTATGTTGGAAGAGCAAAAACCTTAGTTAAAAGAAAAAAAAAAAGGGCAAAAATCTAAGTGAACTGCTCAGATTATCAGCTCTCAAGAGGTTTCTTTGGTTTCTGTGGAGTTTTGCGTTGCTGAGTTTTCAGATGACCTTTGTTAATTATCCGAAGTCAAAAAAAGAGAGGGGTGCAGATTCTTGCTGTGCTGTAGGCTTTACAAATCTACATTATCTCATTGAAGTAACTGAACAGAAACAAATATATTGCCAATGGTAGTTTTTGGTGAAACCAGACCCATGGAGAATTTAATAGATTATAATTTTATTGTCTTTCCAAAAACTGCATGGCATATATTTTTACCTGATGGAAGACCCATATATGTGTATAAAAACTTTTAATGCCTGTTTTCTCAAGGAACGCAAAATTGTTCATTTCTGTTTGATTCTGGGTTTTATGCTTAGAGGACTGATAAAATTATACTTCAGGTTCTAAAGATGCAGTAGAAAAAGGGTTGCAAAGAATGGATGAAATACATTTCTTCTATGTCATCGTGAGTGCTTGTTTATTATGTCTGACAACTTCAGTATGTATGTAAGTGTATGCAAGTTCTTTAAATGCAAAAATAAAGGTGCTCAGGACACTTGAGATGATGTTTCTTTTACTTGCTTTTATTTCCTGTACTTTTCATGATGTTTACTCCCTATAGCAAAGACATAAATCAATTAAGTAAATCAGTTTTTCTTTAAAAGGTACTAATTGTTCATCACATTTGCATTGTGCTGTTAGGTAGTTCTGTACTGCTTACTATTAATGAAGCTTTGCCTCCAATACAGGATGCTGACATTACTCTTTTCAGTCTTTAGTTTTGTGATACAGTTGTGATTTTCAACAGTGTTGAGTATCTAATATCCACTTAATTTCAATGGAATAATTTTTGCAAAGTTTTCTATTATGTCTATAATAATTATACTAAAGATTTACTTCTCCCTGATTATATAATGCTATTTATTGTGAGACTATGTTAATACTAGGAGCCCCTGGTGGTCTAGTGGTTAAGGATGCGGCGCTGTCTCCGCCGAGGCCCAGGTTCGATTCCCGGTCAGGGCCCCTCCCCGGTCAGATGGAGCTCGTTAGTCCTGTAAGGCAATCCATCTACGTCCTGAGGACCTCGCTGCCACCATCCAAGCTCGCTTGGCCCTGGCAGATGAACCTCAGGATTAAAGGGTGGGCTCAGTTCCGCGCACATTGTGTCTCACCTAAAAAATCCAATGCGCAGGCTGGAAGGTGGAAAGACCTTCCCCGGATTTTTGTTCACGAAGACTGGCCATTATGTTAATACTGATTTTTTTAAATCCATTTCAAAATAGCAAATATACTCAACTTTCAAACAAACAAGAGGTTTTCTGAAATTGCAAGAAAGAATATTCTACCTGAAACTTGAAACCACAACTTTGTCCTTTGGGCCTTGAGGTTGTAATGAATAAAGAGAATTAGTGTTGTAAAGTGTGTATAGCAGAAGTGAGTTCAAATCTTGCTCTTAGCTATTTGACCTCTGTCTTTTTATTTAGCAGAGTAAAAGCTTGGTATTTTCAGATAATTAAACATGGATGTCATGAAAGCCCAGAGCACATTTGGTGGCAATGCAGATAGTTTCTTTTGAAGCTCCAGTGGTATCTCTGACTGTTTTATTTCTTTTTTTTTTTCTTTTAAAGTTTTCAAGAGCCTCATATTTAAAGGATTTTACAGTAAGCCTGAAATGAGCAAATAAACTAAAACACCAATATGTCTGGTATTTTTGAGACCAATAACATTTCCTATTCCTAACAACAAAAAAAATTTATTATTTAATTAAGAATAAAAACAAGAGATTGGGAAAACATTGACTCACTGTTAGTAACCATGGTAAATGTGGCCATCACTTCAGTTCATCAAAGTCTGTAAATTATCTACAAGGAATTCAATGGAACATTCCTCAAAATCTCCTATTTTCATATACTTTCCCAAGAAAATAGAAGTAATTGTGGTGTTTTCTATTGTAAAAATAGTGTAATTCACATCAGAATTTGAGCGCTGCATTAGGGCACTCCAGCTGTATTTGGAGAAGTGTGTATTTGTCGGTCAAGTTTGCAGAAAGATCCACAAGCCATTGTACTGGAATAGCAAGTGGGTCTGTATTGGTGGCATGGTCAAAGAAGGACAACCAGCTCTCAAGAAGTGTTTCTTCAGCAAAAGACCCGGCAGTAGGGGCACGGTTTCTGTTTTTCTAATTGTAAAAAGAGTTATTTGTCTGAAGCACCTCCTCCCTCATCAGTGCAGTGTAGGCTGTAAGATTTACAATGGAAGCTCATTTTTAAAAGTTTCCCTTTAGATCTAAGAGATTAAAATCCAGAGCTTTGGGAACATGGCTGTGTTTAAGTTAGAAACTGGTGACCAGGAATATTGCTGATGAAGTAAATTTTCTTTGTTTTTTTGGAAGCAGGCAGCAATGCACAATTAATCCTGCTCAGAAATCCCTTTGTGACTGTTCCAGATAGTTCTGTGCTTTAGAAACTGTTGATTTAATTTCTCAAGACCACCTTGGAATTCCTTTTACTGCTCTTCCTTCAGCTCATACAGTCCATTGCAGCCTTCATTGCAGCCAGGGAAATCCTGGTTAATGTACTCAGCCAATTCTTTCCTTGCCTATATGGCTTAGTATATTGAATAGTCGTTTCTATTGTACCTGGACTGAAGGAAAAACTTTCTTTGGCCCTAAATCCCTTCCCCACAGTGGAACAGTTTAAGGGTTTTAATCTGATGAACTTTATCAACTGACTAGCTTGCAATTTTAGTCTGTTTTATATACAACAGCAGTTTGAGGCAGGGAATTAAAAGCTTAACTAATAAAGTAGAGGACTTCACTAGTGTGTATTTATACTGCTTTTTAAGCTGGTTTTTTAATCTTCCTATTACTTGCTCTCACTGGAGATCCTTGCTGTTGTAGTTGTTTGCCATTCTAGTTCCTCCTATTTCTGGGAATCTGTCTACATTGTCAAAAGAATTGGAGTAAACTCATTAGGATTAGTTTTACAGATTTTTTTTTTTACTTTTTTTCTTTTATGCCTTTCTCGAGATTATCAGGGAAAAAAATGTAATTTTGTGGAGATGGTTTCATAAAGTTATGTCTTCTTTGGTGTAAGCGTGCTGCATTTTAGAAGTAGACAGTCATAAACTACATTTAACTCGATACAGGATCAGAAGGTCCTTGGTCTTTGAACCATGCAGCTTTCTTAGCTTTGTTTTATTTATTTGTTTGTTTATGTAGTTACTTTCAAAATTACATACTTTGAAGCAGCTTTAGTTAGGACGATATATCCCGTATAATGGAGTCACCTGAAGAGTCTCTTCCTTGACCTCGTGATGTGGAAGGAACTGGGCATACAGTTCTGCTGCCAAGTTTGTCCAGTAGCTTGATAATCAAGGCATTTCACCTGGATGCTGAGTCTCCACCTTAAGTTCTTCCTCTTCCCTGTGTGATTGGAATTTCTGTCAAAGGGAGCTTGTTCTCATTGCTTTGTCATAATGGATTCATAAAGGCAAATAAAGAAGTTATTATAGCAAATGTCCCTCAGTTGATCTTTACTCTGTAATGTGTTTGGATTTTCACTCGGGGAAACAAAGGACCTATCCTTCTGTATTATGGGTATTCTGTAGAATCTAATCTTCCTCTTATTCTATAGTAGTGGATGAAGTTGCTGTATGTTTTGTCATTTCAGAGACTGCATCCTGAGTTACCTCTTAGCCTGGAAGAGCTTGAAAAAGTTTTTGTTACATTAGATGCTGATGGCAATGGCTCACTTACCCCAAAGGAATTCATCACAGGACTCAGTGAGTTTTGGAAAGCGTGTCTCCTGTACTGAGCTTTATTCATGTTCTGTACTCTTCACATCAGTAAAGAAGCATTTTGTCTTAGGAGTACACTTAATAATGCACACAGGGAGCCAGACTATTCCCTATATACTGTAGATATATGTAGCAGATGAAGAAGTGGTCAGATAGTGTGAATAAATAAACAAAGGGTTCCAGGATCTTTCTCTTGTGTAAAATGGCAAGCCATGACATAATACGAGACAAATTATATAATCATCTGAATTGTACCTGTTTTAAGCTGTGGAGTAGATCTATGTGCAATTTTTTTTAAGGTTTACCTTGATGGGGGAACAGGGAGGGGTGAAATCTTGTGTTTTATTTCAATCACGTCATAAGACCTGAAAGATAATTAAGATTATCTCTAAGATTATTGTAAGACAATGTTAAAAATGTGTTAATACCACTGTCCTTACAGCTATGGAGATGTTTTCTACAACAAATTAATTCTTCAAGTAATGTTAATTTATTTCAAAACAAAATAGGATGAGGCACTTATTACTGCATAATAGGAGCTGATAAGTTCTTTGTAATTGCCTGTTTTGCAACAGCACTCTTACTGTCATGTTCTCTGTGTTTGTCACAGGGCTGTTTTCTTCCCAGCTGTGACATTCCAGATAAGATGACAGTGTTAGGGAGACTGTGTTCAATTGTTTATGCAAAATCAATTTTGTGCTTAAATTTTAGCATTTCCTCTAGAAAATGAAATGTCTTCCATGCGGGAATTGAAACAATAAATCTCAATTTAAATACTATCTATTTATACTATTTATTTATAGTATTTATATATATTATATAGTACGATACTAGGTCCAGGAAATAGGACCTTCATTTTTGCTTTCAAATCACCAGTTGTTTGAAATCTTAATTCTCTTGTGTTCCGCCTCTTCCCTTGTAGAGCTAGATCAAGTATCCTAATAGAGTATGGTTTAATCTCAAAATTGCCCTTATTTAAAAATGAAATAATATATTACTGCTTTACTTTTCACAAGTAAATTATACTTATTTCTTAGGTTAAATGAAGATTATTTTCATACGTATTCCCTGCAAAACCAAAACTGTTTATTAAGTGAGGTTGTAAGTGGCTCCCATCTACAGCAGCTCCAGATCCTGGAGATTACTTCTGCTCAACTGCTGGAGCCCAGTCCAGAGAATAAGGTGGATGTGGCCACTGCTGTCCTGTTTGCAGGTTCAGCTGGCAGTGAAGATAAACGTGTATCCCAGAGGCACCCACACATGGACACACACAAGCACACAAAGGACATGGTCACAGCACATGTGTATAGGATTGGCAAAAGACATAAGGAAGACAGTGTAAAGCATGGTACATTTTAACCTTCTACACAGCATTCACAGGTTTTTTCCAGGCTAGGTAGTCATATATTTGGCTAGGTGATGATGTTGGTATTCCTAGTAGAAGCAGAAGCTCTACTAGGTATAGGCTGCTAAGTCAGCCACAGAACTCAAGAGATCCTCTTGCCATGCCTCATCCTTTTGTTATTTCATCATTTTGTTATTTCATTATGTTATTTCCTTACTCTGCCTGTAAACAAGTGTAGATGTTTCCCTCACAAATTATACTTGCTGTCAAATTTGATCTTTAGTATGTTTAGTATTACATTGCTTCTTATAGCTGAGTTCTGAAAATGCTAATGTGTGTAATTTCTAATTCTTAGGCCAATTTCTTTTGGAGCAGATTGCTTTGAAAAATGACATGATGCAGCAATCAGAAGGTGAAACAGCCTGCCCAGATATGTGCAAAGAGACCATGGGTGATGATGAGGATGAAGACTTCCAATTCTCCAATCTGATGGATCGACTTGGAGCTAAAAAGGTTTTGAATGAGTGAGTCTTTGCAGCAATAGTAATCAATTGTATGATTTTTTTTATAATTAATCTCTGGGTTTGATTTTAGTTAAACCCAAGGTAAATAATGAAACTAAGACTGCTCAGTAACACAGTGATTGTTAAAAAAATTAATTTTCTTGGTTGTCAGATACCATTTAACCAAAATGTCCAAGAGCAAAACTATTGTATTCCAAGCATATGAAACTTATTTTGCTGCTATACCACTTTATGTGTCGTGTGTTTTGAATATAATTAGCATATAATCCACAGATGCCACTGATTTTCAATCAAACAGTGCATGATGACTGGTTTTTCTTGGCAAGGCCTGTGTTTAAAGTACACCAGTTAAACACAGGAAAGGAGGTTTTCTCCTGTTTTTCTGCCTTTTCTCTCCTTCATGCATAATTGCATGTTGTGATTGTTCTGATAACACTATCTCTTCCAGGGCCAGGATGGCTCACTCTGAAACATGGAACGTAAAACCTGCACTGGGATTTTTTTGTGTGTAGGCCTGACATTCTTTGTTCAATCACAAGGAATGTTCTAGAACAAAAGAAAAAAAAGCATGGAGCAAAAGTGGGAGAGAATCTGCACAGATGGTAGGAATGTTTAAGAAATACATCAGTGATTCTTACCATGAAATTAAAGTGCTCCTCAGTCTTTCTTTTGCTTCACCTGATTGCCTGTTACGGGTAACAGTTGGTTGTCAGTCATCCTGAAAGGCTTTCATTTTGAAGAGGTTTTCATCACCCACTTTTTCTATCCTTATCCTCAATTTGTCCTTTAAATATAGCACTCTTTGCTGGCTAGGTTCAGGCTTACAATGCACATGGTAGAGAGTGACTCAAGAATAAACAAACAAAAAAAGTTGTTCAGGAGAATATAGGCAAAGTATTAGAAAATCTGTTATCATTCACAGTAGAGCATCTTTTTTCCAGTATCTGCTGAACGTATTTGGAAACAAAACATTATCTTGGTAAATCTTTTAATTGAAATTTCAAGATGTTTTATGCTGATTTTTGTAGCAGACGGTAACAGACGGTAGAATCAAAATGTGTTGAAAATGAAAGAAGTCAGTACAAACACAATTTCTTATCATGTCTAAGTAACTTATGAGGAAGGGGTTTTGATTAGCTTTTGCGCTGCCCCCTTTGCCGTAGATTCATGAGAGCCTCTTTACTTCATTGTATCTCATCTGTCTCCTTTCTTATGCATTCCTGTTCAGAGGAAGTGTCTGGCAGGGCATCCACTAAACAAGCAGCTCCTTTGATAATGTGCAGCTGTGAATGGCCATACAATATGATGCATTTTTTTGAATAAATGCAGTTTCCATCATTTCCCATCCACTTCCTCCTTTTAAAGTCTGGCAAGTAGCCCTTGTTTATAATAAGTTTTGTATTCTGACTAGTGATGCCCTTAAGCCTCCATCTACTAGGATGAACATTTATTGCAGCCGGAGAAATGTTCTCTCTTAATGAATCCTTTATGATCTCTGCTTTCAGTGAGAGTGATGTGAAGCAACTTTGGTTGCAGCTAAGAAAAGATGAACCTCATTTACTTGCCAATTTTGAAGACCTCTTGGTCAGAATTTTCTCCCAGCTCCAAGAAGCAGATAATGAGAAGAATGAGTTGGAATGCGCTCTAAAAAAGTTAGTACTTCTCTTTGTTAGACTGTTCATGTAGTTTTACAACTGTCTTACTTCCTATTTGAACTTCTGAAGGAAACAAGGTATTTCAGTGGAGAATGGAGGACAAGAGTTCCCATTATGTAATATTTTATTAGTAATGAAGAATACTGGTAAAATTATTTGTATTGCAGAATTGGATGAAATTAGCTTTTCTCTTCCTGTTAACAGATTTTATTGACGGAAATTCTTTTGCAGATGTCTATTATTGCATTGAAGTTTTAAGACAATATTAAGCAATTCCAATCTAGTTAATCAGTTTGATTCCAGAGGACGGTCAGATTTACCAGTAAATCTGGTAAATTGTCCGTGTGCTTTGAAACCCCTGCGTGCAGAAAAGCTATAAATCTGGATTAACTGGCCAGAGACATAAGAGGTTTAAGATGTTAAAACAGCACAAAGTACTGATATTAGTGAAAATGTAAGTTTGCAAATACATATCTATAAAGCAAGCCTATGGAATATAGTAAATAATATGTATTTGTTTTATATGTAAATGTATATATAAAAACAAATATATAAAATGCATATATATAAAAACATATAAGAACTAAAAGTTAACAGATAACCCTTTAATATGTAGCTACCTGGGGGAAAAAAGGTTGTTGTGCTAAATCGAAACAGAATGCAAAATTATGGTTATGTTTGAAGTTCCAGTGTATTTTTATTGTGAAGTGTCACTTCTGAATTTCAGATTCTTACAGAATATATTGTTGAACATTTATTTCGTTTGTTCAGCACTCTCTTGGCTGTTCTGAGAATGTGACAAGGCATATGAAGAAGAAAAAGGCCTAAAACTGTATGGTCATTAAAGACAATTGGTTTATATTCATAGTAGCATTTTTATCTAAGTCTACAAGTGTAGTTTTAGTCTTCAGACAGCTAGTCAGTTGGAAACAGCATACAGGGACTTTTGCTGTCTTTTTTAGACTAGAGATTAGTAGCTGCTATGTGTGATGAGGGGTTTGTTTTGTGGTTTTGTTTGGGATTTTTGAGAGTGTTTTTTTGAAACTGAATGAATAAATTTGTTCTGTTTCATAGTTGTGATCAGCACAGAGGTGCACAGAGAATGCAGTGGCATTTTCTTTTCTGGCTGATGTGAAATCTCTACCTTAAAAATGCATTGCATTTTTATATTTTTGTAGTAAAATCAGGTTTTAGCTAATTTCTTCTTTTTGTTGATCCCAACAACACCTCTAATTTCAGCAAATAGATTGTGGTTTTGTTTGTAGTCAGTAACTGGAAGGAGTCAGAGTAGTAATGTTGTCTTTAGTAACAGTGGGGATGAAAAACTTCTTTTCTTTTAAACCATGTACAAATAACAGCAAAGACAAGACCACATAAAGGGAAAATTATTTTTTTTTAATACTCACTTACTAACACTAACATGCGTGTATCTGGATAGACTGGCAAGCATTTACTGTAGGGTCACAGATGATAAGGGATGCAGGTTATTGAGGTCTTATAATGTCTTCTGGGTTATTCTTGATTGGTGACAATAATAGCCTTTGGAAAGTGAATTTGAATAATGTGATCTTTCATCTTTCCTTTCTGACTCACCTCCGTGAGTCATTAGGCAAAAAGGCAGTCTACTCTCAGCCTTTTGTCTCCTTTCCTGGATGTAGGCTGTGCTTTTGTCTTAAGCTGCTCCTTTTTTTCCTATCCTGGGTACCCTGAGAAGCTTCATGTGCTTGCACTGGGATCTTTGCGTTGTGACAATCTATGCTGTCTACGACGTTCTTCTCTATCTGTTTTTTGTCTTTTCTTCTGGAGCTTTCCTACATGCATATTTTCATTCCTGAACCTGAGTCCCATGATCTAAGAGACTCAGGGATTTCCTCCTGTTCTGGTCCAATACATACAGTACTCTGATGCTGTCCTTTTTGTAGGTCTGGGCAGTAGTGAGGCTGAACATATATTCTCAATACCAAACATGTAAATACACCACACATGGGAGACAGAAAGAAAAAAAAAATGTGATTCTTAAATCTAAACAGAATGCAATTCTTTGGATACAAATTTTTATTTTCTAGGATAAATTAATTCTGCTTGATTTTCTGGTATTCATATTTATTTTGAAGTGCTAATTTAAAATTAGATGGTTTCCTAACTTAGTGGTTTTTAAATAATATGGTGATGTATTAAATGAGCAAAAAAACCAGTAGATGACTGTAAGGAAGATAAAATAAAGTCATGCTTACATGATGGGCAGTTATAATTCCAGAGAGAGCACAGAGAGCTTCCTGAAATCATCAGTTCACGGTGCAGTGGCAGCCCAAAGACCCCACTAAACTTCTGTGCATTATCAGGGAGGGTACTGAGCACGTGACAAAACATGGTTTTGCCACTTCATGGAATTTTAGTACTGTGTGAAGTCCTGGTCTCTGCAACACAAGAAGAATATAGTGGGATAAAGAAAAGTACAGAGAACGGCAATTCAGCGGTTAAAGGAATAGAACAGCTATTCTGAGAGAGCTATTTTTAAAAGGTCGGATCTCTTGAATAAGGAGGCTAAGGCTGGAGTGGGATATGACAGACCTTGTTATTCTTCAAATCCCTGGCAGTAGAACCAAGGGGCATTTAGTAAGTCTGATAGGAATTAAGCTGAAAAGAGATGAGAAAGAGCTTTTTCTCCTTATCTAGTTGAAGATAAAATCTTCAACTGCCATTAGCTCAGTCTGCTGCTGTGCTTTGCATTTGAAGGAAAAACCTAGTATAAACGTGTGCTGTGTTTCAAACCAGTTCTAAACTGAGAAGATAAACAAAAGTATAAAGGGGAAGTGGCAGGATGAACTATCTTCTCATGGGCTTAGCATGGGACAGTGTCAGAGTCTTTGTGGAAGAGGAGAATCAGCAGCTCAGAACATTAGTGCACAGTGTGCACAAATCACTGTGGTTTTTTTAAGGAGAAAGAACAATTCACATTTCAGCTACATGAACGAGCAGAATTTAAACCCTTGTGAGTCTGTTGAACTCTTCTCATCTGAACTTAGTGAACTCATGTTACGTTCCATCTCCTTTGGTCTCCATCTGTTCGTTCCACAGCACTACTGGAAAAAGGTCACATTATCAAATATTACTGAAGCTACACAATAATGTGTTAAGTAAAACTAGATGGGATGATCCCAGGGAATAGAGATTTTAATCAAAACTTGCTGCATTTTTTACATAACAATGACATACCCTTAGGGCTTCAGGTTTTTTCCCCTGATTATATGTGGGGAATATTTGCCAGCTAATGTATTGGATTATTTTTCTGCTTTTAGTTAGTTATGTTACTTATTATTGTGTTACACTTTTGATTATAACAGGATATTATTTTAACTTTCTGTTTCATTTGATCAGAGTTAAGAATGGTATGAATAAAATGCTTAGGGAGTATTCAGCCTGCAGAAATGGCTTGTGCTTATGTGCCAGACCAACCGAAAAGATTCCTACATCCAGCAGTGCCTCCTGGATGGAGTCTTGATGATGCTGCCATATCCTTTGCTTCCAAACACATAAAGAGGAAAGAAATAACTAAATCAGCAGCTTAATAATATGGGACTAAAGTTATTCTCCCTGTCACACAGAAGCAAAGAAAGTCTTTATGATTCCCATGGAAACACTGACTGCTCTACAATGTGTTCTGCCTGTGCAAAGTTACAGGGTTTTTCAGTACATAGTCAATCTAGCCCCGGTCAAAGTGACGTTGTACTGCATGAATACAGTAGGTATATGATCTCAGCATCTCTGTCATACCTTTCTAAGTAATTTTTATTTCTTTATGGTTTTGTTTTAATTTTATTTCATTGATGAGTGCTGATTTCTTATGAAGGATTTTTGTATTTTGAAGAAAATAAAATTTAAAATCAGAACACAACCCATCTTCAAACGGTAAGGGCAGCAAAAACAACGCTCTATTTGAAGTGTTGCAGTCAAATGAAGAGACCTTTGTCTGGGCTGCTTTTCTCACCTGGTCAGAGTTTTAAAAAGTTCAAGGGACAGCCATCGTTTTCGTCAAATTCATATGGCTTGACATTTGTTTATTGCTACTGCAAATCCTGAAAAAATGTCTCCCCTCAGATTTTTTACCTGTGACTGAAAAGCAGGCAGTGCCAAGTGTTCCGTTGTTTGAAAGGGGGAAGGAAAGACTTGTTTCTGGTTTTGCTCATTCTTTTTAGCTTAGGTAAGTTTCTTGAAGTGCCTTTCCAATTTGCTTTGCTCTAACTGAGAAGAGAATCAAGCCTTCGATAAGTGAAAACATAGAAATTGTGGAGCACTGAGGAAAAAAAAAAAAAGAGATACCTGGATTACAAAATTAATGTTGGGTGTTTTTTTTCAACTGTATATTTTTTGTCTTGCTCTTACTGATGTGAATACCCATGGAGATTATGTACTTTACTTGTAAGAGATGAATTGTGCAGATTGCTCAAGGAACATCTATGGCAGGAAGAATATGGGGGAAAATACAGCAATGTCATATAAAGACCCTGTTAATCTCTATTAATAATCTTTCGAGGATGTCCCTTGAGTTTGATACAAAGTGATTTTTGCTTTTCAGTTTCTGGTTTAATGACAATATAATAGAACAGAATCCTTCATGTATCAAACTGCAGTGATATTAATTGCAAAATTCTACTGGAAAAAAAGTGAACTTTGTTGGTACTTCTTTTTTCCTACAGTCACATATACTTGTGCACAGCATATTAATTTCTGTTCCTCACCTGGGCTTTTAAAATTTGTTTCAGCAAAGCTGTCAGAGAGGCAGTAAGGCAGCTTTCAAGAAGGTCTTTCAAGAATTCTCTTCCAGCTAATGTATCTTAGACATGATAGAAGTACCTCATTCGGTGCTCTTGAGTGGGGAATAATCACTTCCAGAGTAAAAAGAAATGAAGTTACAGTGAAAATACTTTTAATTGGCAAACTTAGGCTCTGATGTTCTTAGTATTGTCTCTTCCTTATATGTAAGATTTAGTAGTCATTATAACTGCATAACAAACAGGTGCTTTATATGGAAACATCAGATGTGTAGCTTTATGTGAGCTTTTCAACTGTTGAAGCTTTCCTTCTGCAAGAGGAAAAAAAAATTAATCTGTGAACTTTGCTGCACAAAAGTTCCTATTTCCTTGACACTAGAACATTTGTTAGAGTCCTGTGTTAAGGCAGAAATGTGAAGCTCAGTTCATAATGTGAGCCATGATTTGAAGTAATGCTACTAAGACTCAGTCACTGTACTTTTATCTCTTGTTAGGAAAATTGCTGCTTATGATGAAGAAATTCAACACCTCTACGAGGAAATGGAACAGCAAATCAAAAAGGAGAAAGAGCAGTTTCTATTGAAAGTGAGTGTATCCTTGTTATTGTGGGCCTGGATTCTGGTTCCCCTTTCAGTGGTTTCATACTCATTCTGGGTGTCAAAGCCCACAAAATGCGTTTCACAACCAAATAAGAAAAAAACTTTTTTCCCCTCATAGCTACTTTTGTACTAATCCAATCTCTGCAGCTTCAAACTAAGTGACTTGTTGGATGAGAGGAACACTGATGTCCTGTACTCAGTGGTTGGCATACAGTAGCAGCTGGCATTCTTTTGGAAATCAGTTAAATTACAAGCATTTTATTACTGGTATTGCTATAGGTTCAACTTCTGAACTTCTGGTTACAGTTAGGAAAAATGCTCTTGGAGGTTGCTCAGAGCAGCACCAAACCTGTTGAATTCTATAGTCTCAGCTTTTTGGGAGGAGATAAGATCTCACTGAAGAGCAACAAGAGATGGTTCAAATGATGGTAACTTCTGAAACCACCACAACTATTTGAAAAATAAAAAATAGGTCAGACTCTTTTGTCACTGCTATGGTGCCTCCAGAACACCGGAAAGTGAATTCCCTTTTTTGGCAAAGACTTATTTAAATCTCCTCCACTGCATTTGTAGTCTTTTCTTTGCATTTTTCTGTCTTCTTTTTTATTTTTTTTTTTTTTCCAAAAAAGGAAACTAACAAGAACTTCCATTATGCTTCAGGAAAGAGTAATTTTAGAATCATGGGTGAGAAGGTGCCTGTGGAACTCCTAACTTTCAAACTAGATCAGGTTGCTCAGGGACATGTCCAGTTAAATTTTGAATATTGAAATGCTGGAAGTTCCTCAGCTGCTCTAGGTGGCCTGGGACTATCCATCATGAGCTACTGGCTCATGCCTTTTTGTTGTCTTGGCACCAGCCTTATAAATGAAAGCAATTTAGGGTTTCAGCAACACGGTAACAAAATGTTGCCAAAGAAGTGGTTATTGTCTCCATTCTCAATCAAATATGATATCTAAAACTTCCTTTTTTTCCCCTAAATATATCAAGCATCTTTTGTTTCCTGACCATAAAAAAAAAAAAAAAAAAAAAAAAAAAAAAAAAAAAAAAAAAAAAAAAAAAAAAAAAAAAAAAAAGATGCTTTTATCTAAGGAATCATTCTTTTTACTTGCCTCACACAGTAATGAACCTGACTCAAATTTTCAAGTTTTTTGTAATCCTAGCTGAGAGCAGTTTTTAGTGGTGTGTGAGATGAACCTTTTATATAAAGTTTGTGTATCAGTTGAAGGATAAAATGTATTTGCAACTTTGCCTGACAGCAGTTTTGTGGGAAAAAATAGTTCATATGCTCTTAATACCCCACAACTGAAGTGGTATTGAAACTCCTAAAACAACAAAGACTTTTCTGTAAGCAGTGATTGTTGGATCTCCTAATTAGTTGTATATTTGAGGTAAAGCCATTTCTTTCAGGCTTTTCCATTAAAGCTTCCCACTCAAGCTATTTACAGTGTAGTCAGCATTCACACTAAGGGTTGCCAGACACTCAAAGAGTATTGTTTCTTGGCATGACTAATTTGGGATCTGAGGGGATCTGGCTGTTAAATTCTTTCTCTAATGCAAAGTCTTACAAAGACTTTACAGCCTGGAGAGATGCATTGATGCCATATAAAGGGGAAATTATTATAGCTTGAATGAAGAGCAGCTCTTGAAGAATACATTTAAAGAAATTGGTAAGATGCAAATAAGTACAAATTGTAGCTATTTACAATACTTAGTACCCTGCTGACTGAAGGTTATATAAAAGGGGCAGTTACTCTGTCTTTCTCACTTGGGTATATGTTCTTCCACAGAAGAAACCAATTATTATGCATTTGATTACCCCATTACATGTACTGCTGAAGGGGAAATGCATGTAAGAACCACTGCTGTCTTGAGGGGTTTTTTATTTTTGTTTAGAAGCATTTTCCTGGAGACCTTGGGGAGTAGGAGCCTATTGTGGAGGAACAGGACAGATTCTCAGCTGATACATACTGCTGGAACCTGACTTTACTCAGAGGAGGTCTGACAATTTGTCTCAGCTGGGGAGTGTCTGAAGGAGTAATTCCATATATGACTGAATTCCTAGTGATTGCAGGATTTTTAGAAGCTGGACAGGTTGATGTAATTGCGAAGTGAAGGCCCCAATCACTTTTTTTATATCAGTGGAACATCTGTGACAAATTGTTGTTAGAGATGGATTTTAAACATGGCAGGTATTGTTTCTTTTTACCTTCAATCTGTTCTGCTGTACTGTATCCTGTATTTCCCATATCAGACCTGATATCTTGTATCTGAGTTACAGGATGACTCCGTAAGACTCCATAATACATTTGTCCAGGTTGTTTCCACAGGTGCATTCTCATCACTTCTCCGTGCCAGCAGTGTCTAGCTAAGGAAAGCGAATGTGCAGGAATCTATTCACTCTGTTGCTGGGTTTTTTCCAGTTTGTTTAGCTCTCTGAAGCAGCTCACTGCTGCAATCGATGAACATTAATGCTAGTGTATAGGAGCATAAGGGTATGTGTGGCTGGAAATGAGAAGATACGTTCTGGCTTCATTGATTTAGATTGGCGAAGCTCCTAAGGCTCACACCTGAGACAGAAGACTTCTGTCTGCTTTTGTAGACTGGATGCCTACTCATGCAATCAGCACATTCCGTAGCAACTGCAGTCTTTGGAGTTGCTGGGCTACACCAGTTTATAGAAGCTCAGAATCTTGATTTGTGAGTGATACCATCCCTAAATTGAGTTCTACCCATATCTCATTATTTTCACTGTGGAAAGCCTATATGTTCTTTTCTTGCCTGATTCTTTTTCTCCTTCTGCTGATGCAATTGTTCTATTCTGTTAATCTGTTTCCTCTTTCAATTTTGCAGGACACAGAGAGGTTTCAGTCCTATAGTAAGGAGCTGGAGTGCAAGCTGCTGTCAAAGGAACAAGAACTGGAACAATTGGTTCAAAAACAGAAAAGGGTACTAACTGATATCCTTCAGAGTTGAATATAGATAACTCTTATTTGTTCATGTGATTTTATTTAGGTACTATTTTGGGTCCCAAAACTCCAAGTTGGTGTAATGTGGTTCTGCCAAACTGTCACCCCTCTGGTGCTTATGTGTCATGTGTTTAGGAAAAATGTTACCCTCTATTTCTACAATAATTGTCCTTTTATGTGATATAATGAAAAAAAATATTTTGGGTATTCTCTCCAGGTAGAAGGTTAATTTTATGAAAATGTAGCAGAATTTCACTGTCTTCAATGTACTAGGAACTGGCTTACTACTCAGAAGTAGTAAGTTCTACTCAAGAGCAGAAATCAATGGTTTGTGTCTTCCAGTGTATACCTTTGCTGCAAACTTGTACCAACCACTCATTTACTTGTTTTGGACTATTCAGCACTATGAACTTGAAGTGCTTTCTCCTGAACAAACTGCTCCTGATATATCTCTGTGATAACAGTTTTATAGCAGTGCATGATTCGCTTGCATGGTAACAGCTTGTCAAATTCTCATATTAAAACCTGATGTGTTTTACTTCTTAAAATGCATGGCCTGCTTGGGGAAGCAGAGTATTTCTGAAGGTGTGAACTTCCTGTAAAGTGTCTTCAAGGTCAGTGCAGGAAAGACTAGCAATAGGGAAAGGAATTTAAAGGGCTGAAATGGAATGCTCTAAACCTAATTCCACGTGTAGAATATGATTATAAAATACATACAAAAATTTTTCCTAGCAGTAGTGCTTGTGAGTGCGGAAGAGGAAAAAGAAGTTTGAGGGCTGTTTCCTAGTTGTATGTAGTATTTAGGTCCTCTTTAGATTCATTCCTCTGAGCAATGAATCTAGGTGCTGCTGAAGCTGATGGGAATTGCAGAATTGTACTTGAGTAAGAGGAGAGACAAACCTCTAGCTTACTATAATCACGCAAGTTAGGGCTATCCTGAGGGGCTGTCACAAGTCAAATGAAGCACATGATTGGTAAAAGCCAGCATGGATTTACCAAGGGGAAATCATGCTTGGAAAACCTGTTTGCCTTCTACAACAAAGTAACCTGCTTAGTTGATGTGGAGCAATCAGTGGACACTACCTGGATTTCTCCAAGGCTCTTGATAAGGTTTCCCTTATCAAAAGGGGTTTTTTTTGATAAGCATTCTTATGGGGTTTTTTGATAAGCATTCTCCTGGAGAATGTGTTATGGTCTGGGCAAGTGTTCCATGCGGTGGGTGGGGAACTGGCTGACAGGAGGTATTGAGGGGTGAGGGTAAATAGCTCCTTTTCACACTGGCAACCTGGTACAAGTGGGGTCCAGCAGGGATTGATACGGGGCCCAAGGCTGCTTAATACTTTCTGAAGTGATCTAGATTATGGCACAAAGTGTACCCTGACTAAGTTTGCTGATAATACCAAACTGAGTGGGGAAGCGGATGCTTTGGGAGAGAGAGCCAACCTTCAGGAAGACCTGCATAGGCTGCAGGAATGGGCTAAAAAGAATCTTAAGTTCAACAAACACAAGTGTAAATACCTGGGAAAACTTAATCCAGGAGTGCAGAACAGGCTGGGATCTAACTGGCTGGGGAACAATTCTGTGGTAAGGGACCTAGGGCTCCTGGTGGACATCAAGCTCAATATGAGTGAACTGTGTACTGCTGCAGCAGAGAAAGGCAACCAAGATGCTGGGTTGTATCAACTAGCAGGAATTATTCCACTTTATTCAGCGCTTGTCAGATCACACCTGTAATACCATGTTCAGTTTTGGTCCCAGCTGTGCAAAATAGATGTGGGCAGGCTGGAGAGGTTCCAGGGAAGGGTCACAAAGCTGATGAAAGGACTGGGAAGCCTGACATGTGGGGAAGAGCTGAGAGAACTGGGTTTGTTCAGGTTTGAGAAAAGAAGACTTGGAGAAGACTGTGTTCCAATATTTAAAGGGGGGCTATAAAAAAGGTGGACATGCCCTTTTTACAAGGAGTCACATGGAAAAGATGGGTGATGGGTCCCTGGGAGACTTTGACTGGACACAAGAAAAAATTTTTGATGATGAGAACCATCAGAACAATTGAAACTTTTTTCATTCAACCAGTTGATTGACCCATTGTCAATCTGATACGCGGTATTTGATGGTTTGGGGTTTTTTTTGTCTCTGGTTTATAAACCTAACCTGTTGATTTGAATGCACTACTCAGTGTAGTTATTGGCAGTGTTTTCTACATATGTTTTTCTAATTTCTAATGAACTTCTCTGAAAGTGACATTCATCTTTATTCAGATCTGGTTTTATAGTACTCCCACTCATTTTCTGGCATTACTTCTCATTCGCCTGGATATCCATGTGTGCTGTCTAAGGCTTGCCTTATTGAGAGATCACTGTCACTTTTGCCTCCTCTGGCATGAAAATATACTTTGATAATTAAATCTGTTCTTGCAGATAGTAGTGGTAGTTTGATTGCATTAAAACTTCCATACTTGATTGTATGAGAGAACCTCTTGTAAGTAATACAAATGCCTTTTTCCTAACTTCGTTAATAAGTCCTTTCTTTTATTTTTTTTTTAATGCAATATAACTATTCCTGTGTTGGAAATTATTATCAAAAATGTGAAATAGAACCTCCAAACCAGATGACTTCAGGTGTTGTTTCTACTGACACAGTCAGAGGGATTCTCCCTTGTGAGCGTCTCTTGCCTGGCATGACTGGAATATGGATCTGATTCCATGTTGACTGGCCAAGATTCTTTGTCTAGGGCCTTTTGCTGACTGCCTTGATCTTGAATTCTCAGCTTGCACTATCTATGGCTTAGATAATACACAAGGTATTCTCATCCCTTGTTCCTCAAGGGATATGTGATGGAATGGCTCAGAAGAAGGCACTGGGGACAGGGGATGTCCAGCATAACATCTAGGGCACATAATCTTGTATGAGGGGATGGAAGTAAGTTTGGACCAGGTAAAATGCACGAAAGTTACTGGGCTTCTAACATAAAATGATGGGTACAGTGCTGATGACAGCCACTGAAGAGCTTGATCCTGGGATTCTGAACGAGATCCAGGAGAACATGGATCAGTAGCACTCAAAAAAGGCAAATCAAGTGATTAGATTGTTAAGAAAAGCATAAAGAACAAAATAATCCTCAGCCTTGTAACAATATAAATGTTTCACCTTTCACGTGCACCTAAAGTAAAGGGGGGGGGAGGGAGGGAAGAGAAAATCTTCAAAAAGGATGCTGGGCTAAGAACAAGGGAATACATGGAGAGTGTTTAATGTATGTGTCTTTTAGGGACAGCAATAGCTGTCCTCAACAACAGCTTCTTTGTATTGGACAGTCCCAGTTCTTTACTCAAACTTGCGAGTTTTTTCTCCTGTTTTTGTCAAAAAAAATAGGCATCATTGGCTACTGTGTCTGTGTTAGCTCACCTAATGAGCTATTTCACTGTATTGGGAGGTTTTTAAATTAATGCTTTAAAAATAGTGTTTGACATCCCTCAAAGAATTATGTGGGTATAGTTAAAGAAAGGAGCTCTGTATTGCTGTTACATAACCCTTTCTCCTCTTCTTGTGTCCTGGGGTTCATATATTACGATATTATTGTTTTTCTGACAAGAGTAAGCACCAAGATTTATAGCAAGTATTTCTAACATCAGTATATATGATTCTGGGGGGTGTTGTTGGCTACCATTGCAGTTGCATTTCCACAACAGTCTCCGCATTAGTTTTCAGATGGTCATAGTATTCTGTAAGTGGGATTTCTGCCTGCAATTTGTAGCTCATAAGATTTTTGAAAGTTCATCTTTGTACAGTCGCTTTTCACTTCTCCCAGATCCTCTCATCTGGATAAGAAAGTCTTGTCTTCTAGTACCTGAAGCATCTGGCCTTTTACTTAGAATAGATAAGTTCATTCTGTCACAGAGTAGAAACAATATTCAGGAACTGAAGTAATCTAGCCATGTAAACCAGCATTGCTCAGCAGTAATGTGGTGCCCAGCCAGTCACTGTTCCATGTGAACTCTGAGCCTGCTGAGGACACAGTTCAGCAAATATGTTAAGCTTGTGCTGCTGCTAAGTGCTCCCACTCTACTCTTGTTCCTGACTTCTCACAATCCCAGCTAGAAAGTATTTTCTGCTTTTGTTTTTAACTTGGGCCCTTTTCAAAACCAAGACTAGAAACAGCAGCATTGTGGAGGGGGAACAGACTGGCAGAGCTGATTGAGGACAGATTTTGGTTGGGTGAGCTCCGCTTGTTGAGATGGGAAGATTAGAGTTGTAGCAATGTTGTGTCTCAGATCTGGAAGATTGAGATGGTATCATTGTAATGCTCCTAGTACATTTTATTTCCCTTGAAGAGCATAAATAAAATAAAATAAAGCTTTTATATTTTTAGGTCAACAGTGTCTTCCCTAATACAAACTTTTGCTCTGCCATCTAACTTTGCTCAGTTAGCCAGGGATAAGCAGGTAAAACTTCTTTATATACCAGAGACCACTGTTGTCTGCTGTTACCTGTTTCAGAGGGAAGGTGTATCTTTCCTTTGATGTACTTTGGAGAGTGAATATAAAAGTGAATAAAAAAAGCTCTAATTCAGTTTTTAGACAGACCTCTGAATCACTCTGTGTAGGCCTTGCCTTTGTGGGAAATAGTCTAAAATAGCACTTGTGAATATCAACTAAGTGCTGCTAATCTGTAGCACCTTTTCTTATGGTTTGTCCTGGTGCATTTTTGAACTGGATGGAATTCAGTCATAGAGTGGAATGACTTTGTTTTTGTGTAACGTAATTATGTCTGTACAAAGAGCAATGGAAGAGCACCATATGTGCTTTGATAGAAATTGCTTCCTTGTTTAACTAACCTCTTAAGATTTGAATTGAAAGCCTCAAAACCAAGATGCCTTGGTTAGTTATAATACTTTCTGCTCTCTTTTCCTCCACCCCAGCTAGAGCATCAATGTACAGAACTCCTCAGTGGCAAAGAACAAACCAAAGTAGAGAACACCAAGCTGAAGCTGACTAACCAGGAGCTGTTAAAAGATCTGGAAAGAACATCTCACGAACTAAGCCTGGCTCAACAACAGTTAGAGATGCTTCAGAAGGAGGCATCAAGACTACATGAGGAGAAGGAAATGTAAGTCTCCAGCTGCAGTAGTTCAGTGCATGTGCTTACTGTGCCAGTGAGCCTCCTTCTCATGGTATTCAATGTAGTGATTTAAGCTTGTGTCATAAGCAGAAACCACCAGGAAAGCCCCATGCAGTTCTAGCCATTTCCCCCCAGGTAATTCAACATGCTTTCTGTAGCATATCTGGCTTCTACAGAATCTTTTTCTGTGTTTTCAAAATGTCTGTGTTCTCCCCCCTGCTGTTTCTTGAGACTATTTGGAACTAAAAATCAGTTTAACGTCTTAGCTTTGAAATACCAGTGGGATTCCTTACAGATATTACAGCTGTGGCACATGATGCTCCATCCTACTCAAAGCTAAGTCTATCTAAAACTTGGTTCTCAGGATGCACTCTGACTGTGAGTCACCCAGGATCTACTTTTTTCTTCCTCAGAAGTATGCCTAGTACATAATTTCTAACCAAGGAGCCTAGCCAGCAAGGTAAAATGTAGCTTATCACAGTTCATACGAAACCTAATAATTTGGGGTGTTCCAGTTCAAATGTGTGGATTTCAGATTCTGACTCTGAATTAAAAAAAAAAAATCAAGAAGAAATATTTACAATTCATATTTTGAGGGATAGAAATGACCTTTCAGTGATATGTCAATCTACCTGTCTTGCCTCCAGCCTTCTGCACAAAGCAGAAGTTATATTACCTTAATCTGTAATCGGCAGAAATGTTCACTGAAGTGTATTTTAAATAAATGCTCAGGGATCTGTAAACCCTCTCACTAGTAACAGAGAGCACATGAATGCCAGACATATCTGACCAGACTCTATACGTTTCAGCAATGAACTCTATAACTCAGAGCTTTTGCTGTTTGACATATTTCAGGATAGAGCAGAACATGTTCAAATGTCAAATTCTTTTTCTCTTAAGCTTGATGCCAAACTCTGCTTAGTTATTACATATTTATTTTTTCTTGAGGGTTTAAATGATGAACTAGTTTGATAAATTATTATTATTAAGGAATGGCCACCATGTTTAGAACACACTATTTTTAGGTTTGCATGTTTGATGTGTATTTTGGAAGAAGACAGTAGAAATATTCCTCCTCAAGGTGGTTTGTTTCCTCTTTGAGGCTTCTCTTTTCAGATCCAGAGCAAAGGCTATGGAATGATCTGATTTTAAAGCTACAAAGGAAATCTGCCCAGTGGTCAGACTGATGAATAACACTACTGCATTTACAAAGCACTTTGGATTCAATAGTGGTTTATGGAATTAGAGTTCAGCCCTACTCAACTGCACCTGCAGTGTTGCTTTAAACATCTGTATCAGTCTGGTAAGACCTGAGCTGTTACAGCAGGTGTAATGTTCAGACAGTGCACAGGAAGAACCTGAGGCTTCACTGAAAGGCAAAAAAATATTTAAGGCCAAATGCCAAATTGCATTATGTCAAAGTAAATGGTGTTAAAACCACTGCATAACTGTCAGGAATTGGAAAGAAATGGTAGGGATTGTAGATGTGTGTGAGCCTGACGTATGGTTCCAGCAGCAAGATAAGCTCTAATTTTGTATATATTACCTGTTTTTTAGTGGCCATGAGTGAGAAGTACTTCAGCAGTGTATCTTTTCTGAATGCTCGAAGTGCTCCAAATGCTCAATATTGACATATATTAAGCTCTCTGGATGAAGAAATAAAAAAACCATCTCTTTTTAAAAAAGAACCTCTACTCCTTCCTCTGCTAACTCAAACTGCTGTGATACTTTAAGCCTCGTACTGAATAAACTTTTTTAAAGTGAATAACCTTTCATGCAGAATATAACCTACAGATTTTGAGAAGCTGAAATCTCAAATGTAGATACTCCTAGGGGAAACATTTTAGCAGTCTTCTTACCATGGTTAGAACAGTTGTTTTGTTTTTATTTTCTTTTTATTACAGGGAGGTGTACCGAGTGACAGAAACCTTACAGCGAGAGAAGTCAGGACTTCTGAAGCAGCTGGATCTTTTAAGGTAATGCGGACCTTACATTCAAAAATTTCTTACATCATTCTGAAGAGGTACATTAAAGGATGCAATTGTGTTGGAATATGTACTGAGTGTAGGCATCCAAGCGCTGACAGTCTCTGTGCCAGAGAGAAAAGGCCGGGGCTGTCCCATGCTGACACGCAACACAGGAAACAGCAGAACACTTACAGGCATGATGGTGCTTCTGGGATAGCCTCTGTAAGAAAGGGAAGCAAAGCACTTGTGAGAGGGATGTGAGAAAAAATGTGTGAGAAAGCCCTTCAGACACCAAGGTCAGTGAAGAAGGTGTGGTAGTAGAAGGTGCTCCAGGCACTGGAGCAGACAGTGGAAAGGATCTGTGATGGAGCAGTTTGTGAAGGACTGTAACCGATATGAAGGAACCCAGACTGGAGCGAGAGAACAGTGTGAGGAAGAAGGAACCACAGAGGGAAGCTGTTATGGACTGACTATAAACCCCACTGTTCCCCACACCCCTGTGCCAGTCAGGATTGGTAAGGAGGTAGAAGACCTGAGAGCATAGGAGTGAAGTTGAGCCTGAGAAGAAACAGGGTTGAGAAGAAGGTGATTTTAGTTTTGGCTTTGTTTCTCATCATCCTGTTGAGTCTGTTTTGTCTGTAATGGTAGTTGCTGAGTAATCTTCTTGTTCTTGTCTTGAACCACAAGCTTCTCCATCTTATTTTCTTCCCTTGTCGTATTGAGGAAAGGGAGTGAGAGAGTGGCCTGACTGCACATCTGGCAGCCAGTCAAGGTCAACTTGCCGCAGGATAAAGTCACAAAAGATAGCAAAAATGGTTACAAAATACTTTTTTATGCCCTTTTCTGGCATATGGTAGAAGGCAGCACACCTGAAAGGTATGCTTTGTTTTGGGAATTCAGTATTGTAGGACAATCTCCTTTTCAAAAGTCAAATGTGAGATGGAACAATAGTGAACTGTTCTAAGCTGGTTCTGTGGCAGAAGGCTGGCTGCAGGAGATGAAGCATGCTAAAAGGCTCTGTTGTTTCTGAAGCAGTAGGAGTTGAGCCAGAGTAAATGTTCTTTCCCCAAAATGCTTGTTTGAAAAATGCTATCAAAATAAAGTTAGGTAACATTTCCCTTTATTGATAGACTTCAAAGTTTGGAACTATGTTCAGACAACTTTTGCCTTCTCATTAATGTGCAGCCATGTTAGGTTTTGTTTGCTGAGTAGTCAGTTTGTATGGGCTATACATTGCACCTGCCTTCACTGACTGCACTTCCTTCGGGAGGCCTCATTTCAAAGTTACCTAAAAATTCCACATGCTTGAGGGAAGGCTCTTATTTTGCAGTGTGTTTTCCATAGGTCACTCTATGTGGTGTGATCTTGCCCACTGCAGGTAGTGGGGACGTAGGTAGAAATACCTGACAAAAGAGGTGGTTTCTGCTCACTCAGGCTATAGTGGCTGCTCATTCTCTTTTTGTGGCCAGGCCAGAACAGATGAAGACAAATATACTAAGTAGGTGTATTGTCAGATCTGATCAGAGCTTGCTGATTGCCTGGAGTCTCAAGTTCTTGGCATTTTCGTTGTTTCTGCATAAAGGATGGAAGATGGATGTTTTCCTAGGGAGACTTTTCCATGGCAGCCCCAACTGTAGCCCTCAGAGGGACATAACTGGCCTTCACAGCTGTCACCAGATGAACAAGCGATGGTGTTCATTACACCCTCTCCAGATTAAGACATCGTCTTTACTGTGAAAATCATTAACCATTCTAATTTATAGTAAGTGAAGGCACATTGACTAGAACTGATTTCCATGTGTTAAGGCATTTGTTTAGATAAAGTACAGAATGAGGTCCAGATACCATCTGTACTGGCTTTAATCAGCCCTAGCGGAGAATCAATAGCCCAGACAAGGAACTGGCTGTGGGGAGAATATAAATAAAGAATGATCAAAGTTTTACACTGCCAACTGTCCAATCTGTCTGTTAGTGTGGAGCAGAAAAGTCAGCAGTCCTAAAACTTGGCCTCAGTGATTCTTTTGTTCTCTTTACAGAGAGATGAACAAACATCTCAGTGATGAACGTGACATATTTTTACAGGTAACCAGCTATTATTTTCAAACCCAGTGTTGAGCAAACACATATCAGAACAGCCTCAAAAGAAGGGGATCAGAAAGCTGTGCCAGAGATAGAATTTTTGTGCTACTTAAATCGTGCCCCATTTTTAATTTGTATTATCTTTTATTCTCACTTCAAAAAAGATTTTAAAATTTGCTGAACCATTTTAAGAGCTACATGTTCAAAATTGTAAAGTTGGAGCTAGCTCGAGAAGGATGAATGTGTTTTAGAAGAAACTAAGAATGCAGTCATGAGAGGATGAAATAATCTAAACATTTAACAATTAAATTGTGTTAATCTGTTTAGTCAAGGGTAGCTAATATCCTGAAATGTCTATACAACAGTACAATAACTGAGTACCTTAATCAGGACCAGAATACCTGTTGGTACCGGGTAAGAGCAGATCATATTAACTTTTTAAACAGCAGCAGAGAATGGGCCCCTAAGAAGTTCCAGAAGAATGCTGGTGTAAGGAGACTAAGGTTACTTAATTTACAGTTGTTTGTTTTCTTAGTCCTACGGGAAGCTGCTGGTGTAAAAAAATATATCGACTTTTTTTCATGACATTATGCTGTTTTGTTGTGGTCCACTCAGTTTACAAAGCAGATGAATTCTTGCGGGATCTGGAGTTTCCCTGTTGTGATTGTCTATCAATCAGCATTCTGAAGCATTTATACCTGTAGGATTTTTTCTACATTTTTTTCTTTCATATGCACTGCATTATTTAAGCGTTAGGAATGAGGGCAGTTAACCATAATGAACAAGAGTAAATTAGTAAGAAGTATTCTGTATTTCTGCAGAAACGCAAAGCAAGTATTCCAAAAGCCAGCTGGAAGCAAAGATCAGGGTCTGTCATTGGGAAATACATAGAGGGGAAGATGCTGCCTAACAGGTAAGAACTTCTTTTTCATGTGTTCCCTATTTGAGTATGATGAGGCTTATAGAAAGAAGATAAGGAATGTTTTCTTTCTGATACCTTTGGACTTCTCAAAGCATGCGTTTCTAAAGTGTCTATAAGATTGCTGTGCTCATTAAGAAATTTGAAAATAAAGTGACAAGTTTTAACATAAAACTGCAAAGGCAAAGAATTTCCCCATTGTGGATGACTATATGCTGGGAGGCACAAAAGCTGTCCCGTTATCCCATGTTAATGGGTATGGTTTCCTTGGTAACTTCCTAAAGAGTCTATCTCCTGTCACTACAGAGAATGGCAGTCCTGTTGTAAAGTATGAGATGTGCAATTAGTAAAATAGAGAATTTAATTCTCAACTGTGTGGTTGTAAACTTGAAATCAGCAGGAACGAGACGGCCATCTCAGTGAAACACTAGCACTTCCTTTGAGGCAAGAGGAGCTGGAAAGTCTTAGTATTTCACTGTGAAATAGTAGCTAAGACAGTGACCCTGCAGGCACAGAGTCATGAACTCTAAAAAGAGAAAGGTCTCTGAGGTACAGTTTAGTATGTTCAGTACTGAGAAGTGGAGCATCATTGGAGAAGCAGCTATGGCACAAAAAATCACGCTAAAATTTAGGTGGGAAGGACCTCTGATGTCTCCAGTGCAATCTCTTCAAGCAGGTCCAGCTCCTTAGCTAGCTAAGGTTGTTCCAGGTCTTGTTCATTTGAGTTTGTGAACACCTAGATGGAGGTCCCACAACCACTTTGAGCACCTGTTCCCTTGCTGCAGCAGTCTCTTGAAGAAATTTTGTTCCCTGTATCTAGTTGGCATTTTTTTATTGCAACTTGCATCTGTGGTCATTGCACACACTTGAGAAGACTCATATATTTTATCTACACTCCTCTTTCTGTTGAATCCCCACTTAGCCTTTTTTAACCCCTATTAAACAAACCCATGTCCCTCCTACCTGCTAAAGAGAAAATTAGGTTACACATAGAAAGAATCTGGACTGGGGGGCGGTTTTATTCCTCCAGAATGGAGATGGGGAATGGCAAATAAGAAAATCACAGTAGAGAAACTTCAGCTACTCCATGAGGTTAGAATTGAGGTTAATCTCATGTCTAATTCTGCTTCAGTAGACATTGGATGAAATCTCTTACGCCTGATTTGATTAGTAAAAAACCATGGGAGATAAAATTCAGTTACACTACAATAAAACAGTAGGAACCCAACTCCAATACGTTTTTGTGGTGTACTTTCTTTTTTTCTCTGTCCAGCCATTCATTTGAAGAAGATGATATATTCAGTAACTCAAAGAGAAGGAATTCTGCTGGACTGAATGGAATTCTTTCTGAAGAGTCAGATGCTGGAGTCACTGGAGGAATGTCTAAAACATCACGTCTCCAAAGAATAATATCAATTGAAGAAGATCACCTACCCCAGCTTCTTGACAGGCTGGTTGATAAGCAGCTGAACAGGTGGACTGAGGAAGATGACAGTACTTCTGAGGTGGAAATGCATAAGAAAAACACAGAACAATCAATGGAACACTCACCTTCATCTTCTAGAGAGCAGCCTATAGGGAAGGAAACACTGTCAAATGTAAGAGGACAAAGGGAACCTCACCTTGAATATAGTGTGAAGTTCTGGGCCCTATGGTTTAAGGAGGACGTGAAGGTTCTTGAATGCATTCAGAGGAGGACAACAAAGCTGGTGACAGGGCTAGCATGTACTGTGAGAAGAGACTGAGTACTCTGGGCTTGTCTAGTTTGGAGAAACAGAAGCTGAAGGGCAACCCCTTTGCTCTCTACAGCTCCCTGAGAAGGGGAAGTGGAGAGGGAGATGCTGATCCCTTCTCCCTGGGACCAATGATAGAATGCGTGGGAATGGTTCAAAGCTGCCTCAGGGAAGGCTCAGACTTCTTAATGTTGGGAAACATATCTTTACTGAGAGTGTGATCAGACACTGGAACAGGCTTCCTAGGGAGGTGGTCCATGCTCCAAGCCTGTCAGTGGATAAGAAGAATTTGGATAAGGCCCTTAATAACAGGCTTTAACTTTTAGTCAGCCCTGAAGTGTTTAGGAAACTGGACTAGATGATTGCTGTAGGTCCCATCCAACTGGAACTGTCCTGTTCTTTTCTATTCTACAGGACCTTGGAAAGCGTGAAATGGTGTTGAAGGGTAATGTTTTATTCTTAGAGTCTAAAATCATTTAGTTTTCTGTTTTTAAGTTGAAGCATGACAAAATAAGCCAGTGGGAGATGGAAATATACTGCAGACTGTGTGCATAGACTTATGTCTGAAGGACTGTTTAGGAAAAGTGAAGTTAAGCCTTGTAATAGATGACACAGGAAGATCCACTGAAAGGTAGCAATGGTCTTAAAAAAGAAGCAAGACTTTTTTTACAAAAATTGTTTGGTTGGTTGGCTGTGTGTTTTTTTTTGCTACAAAGTGGTATTTCTCATATTCTGATACTTTTGAATCAGTTTCGGTAGCTTTTACATTATCTGAGAAATAATGAGAGAAATATCATTACTTTTTAATTATTTTTTGAAAAGACTTTTAATTAGCGAGTAGAAATCTGATATTTTTTTCAGCTCTAGCTTGTATGTGCATGTTAGCAATGAATTCACAATGCGGTAATAATCCTTAAAACAATATGCTGGAAGGAACATTTCTTATGAGTTTAAAGTTCTGCTTGCACTGCTATTGCTTCAGAGCTAGCTGTGCTTGTTTTCTAATTTTAGTATCATTGTTAGGTATTACTCATTTTTAGGTTCTTGAAGTACATATTAAAAAGATTAAAGTATAGGAAAAATAGGTTTGCTTGGTCATAATTATATAGTTCTTTTAGAAGAAGCAAGCATATCTTAAAAATTATGGTAGAATTATGCCATGGTTACATAATAACTTCTAAGTGGTACCTTTTAATAAAAAGTCCAGGGTACAGAACAGAGCTTCATCTTTTGAAATTATTTAATTCAATGCATGCTTTTTGCTTGCTGTATGACTTATTTCGTATTGGATTTTCAAAGTGTGGCATCATTGGACTTTAGGACAGCAAAAGTCAGGTACCTCATCCTGTAAAGCTAGGACAAACCTGTTCTGCCTGCTCTGTTTCAGCAGTCATGCCCCTGAAAAGCACATCCTCTCAGCTAGGTAGGAACTAGATCTTGTTTCTTATATTCTTTTCCCCATAAACAGTTTTGACAGCAAGCAGTCAGGGATTGGAGAGAAGAAACCATAAAATTTCTCATACCTGGTTGTTGAAAAAATTTTGTTTCAGTTTTTAAAGGAACATGATGAGGGTAAACATGAAGTTAATTTCCAAAGGTTATTTCGAACTGGGAATTCTTTGTTTGTTTTCTCTCTATGAAATGCCAGTGATTTAGCCCAACCTTTATTTTGGGTTGGTTTTTTTGCTTGTTTGTTTGTTTTTAAAATTTAGATTAAAAGAAAAACCAACAACACAGCAGCATACCCTTTTCTGGTAAGCTCTGTCCGTGTGACACTGAAGTCATGGTGCACGTGCATGGTTCTTTTGGCCTGCCAAGGACTATTCAGTTGATGGCATTTCATTGCTTAGGGCAGTCTCTGTGCTGTGTAAGTGTCTGACTCCTGCCATTTGGTGTGAGGAGTGCGTTGTCTCCTTCCTTACATGCTGCAGCTGCAGTCAGATGAATTGCTTGTACAGCTTTGTGTTTCCTAAATGATGGCTCCTGGGTTCACACTTCCTGAACATGAGATTTAGATATCAAAAGCGATCTTGTTCCGTACAGTCCTTGCACACTTTTTCCCTCTTCTAATAACATACCTGAGCTAGAAGAAGTAGTATTCAATTAGTAAGTGTTTTGAGGTCAGCTCTGCATGTAATGCTCAACTGGAGCTGAAGAAAACTTCAGGAAAAGTTAACTCCCTGCTTGGTGCATCATGAGTTATGAGCTGTGAGTCTCAGGGCCACATGTCAACTAGGCTGTCTTCTGTACCCAGTCTTTCTCTCCCCTTACATTTTGCTGCCCAAAAGCTGTGCAGTATAAAGGAGTGTAGGATCTAGAAATACTTGTGCAAAGGGGGCAGAATGATTCCTTGCAATTGTGTACACTGGCTTTGTACTACTTCATTCCGTGATCTCATTGCTTACTATATAGAACCTGGCTCCTAGCTGCTGGCATTAAGCCTTCCTATTCACCACATAGTCACAGTAGTTTACCTGCTAATCCTTTATGACCCACTGCATCTTACAGGTGAGTAGAACCAGTGTCTGCACCAGCCAGGTACTGGCCAGCAACTGCCATGTTATCTCTGAGTTGACAGTCGGGTAGAACATTTTTCTAAGTGGCTATACAGATGAAGCTGCAGTTAGCATTAGCAGAAATGTATTTGGGAAAACACCTGCAGGAACCGTAATGGAAATTAAAGCAAAATTTTCTGTCCAAAACCTCTGCCTGAGATTCAGTTCCTCTCCCTTCTGTTATTTCCATATGGAATATGAACCACTGTGTTCATACCTGTCATCTTGCACATTTGTGTTAAAGTGCACAAAAGCTAGATGTGTTACTTGACCTGGCTGCTGTTTAGATAAAGACCACTCAAAAGACCCATCTAGGGAAGACTTTTTCAGACTGCATTGTAAACTAAATTCACATTCTACTGCTATTCCATTTTCCCATCAGCACTTCGTTGAAGCAGACTGTGAAGAAGCTTTTTCCTTGGTATAGTGTTCAGATGCAGGTTTATAAACAAATTTGATTATTAAAGTTATTTTCATCAGTGGATTTGATACATCTCAGTGAAAAATGACTTCTTATACTGGGAGTTGAGCTGAAGGCCTTTGGTGTCTTTGAGTCTTAGTTCTACTGAGGTGTGTATAACCACTAGGGACAAGGTATTACAGGTCACGTAGTCCATATAGTTAGTTATTGTTCTCAGAAGCCCTGTGAAAATGCTGCCAAGCTGATGATTGTATGTTAACTTTTTTTTAATTTCCCAGAGCACACAGTCTAATAAGCTGGGAATGTTTTTCGGCAGAATGGAAAATGTGCTTTATATAAGTGTATGTGTACTACTAGTAGCCTGGGGTTTGGGGTTTTGATAGAAAAGGAGAATAAGAAACCTCTGTGTAATTGTAATGGGCTATTAGCCCAGCTCATGAAAGAGACATGCACTTTTGTCCCCAAAATTTACAGCAGTGAATGATTTTATTTTTTTTTTTTTCCATTCTAAGGAAGACAGCAGCTTGAGGTTTTGTGGCTTGGGTTTTTTTCCCCATCAAGTGCAGCACTCTGTTTCTGCTTTCTGTAAGATTTCAGTGTATTTGTAGAATACCCTTCCAAGCCCCTACTTCAGTGTCTTATTCAAAGTACTGTTGGGCAGCGAATTCAGTTCTTATGTCTGCATGAAGGCAGCAGTCTTGAGAGTTCTTCACCTCAAATGACTGGCAGAGGGCCTTTCCCTCCCTCCTTTCGCTCCTCACAGCCCCCAACTCAACATACTAATGCCAGGACCATCATGATCTTGCTCCCCTTCTGCAGCATTCAAAACAAACATTCAATCTCCCTTTTCCTTCACCTTTATGTAAAATAGAAGAGACCAGCTAGGGCACTCCCTGCAAACCAGCTGGTGCTACAGTGTTCTTCCTTAAGCAACTCCTGATCTACATACAAAGCAATAATGACCTACTTGACAGAGGATATAAATATTCTCTCCAGCATCCACTTTGCTTAGCCTGCAGTAAACAGGACTTGGATAAGCAGAACAAATTGTTGTTCCTTCTGCTTAAAAAATGAAATGACAGAAACATAGCTGAATGTTTACAGCCTGATTAACTAGTCTAATTCTCTCTCTGTCTCTCTCTTTCCCCCCTGCTTCTGCCTGTAATGTTGAACGGATGTAGAAATGCAGTAATTGGATGGAAGCTCTTGGCTCCATGGTAGTAGCAAAGAGAAGAGTCTGGTGGCATAAGCCAAAAAATTATGACTTTGCTTCTGTTATGTAGATGAAGATGTGCTGCTTCCTCTGTGTCACTGGTATAGGGTGAAGCTACTGAGCGGAGCTGTGTGAAGCTTTATAAAGTTTGATTTGTGGCCATGAACATAAACTGTTTTATTTAGGCAGTTTCATTCATTTTTCAATGCAATGTCATGCAAAGGTTCATGTTCAGTATACTTCTAGAGCTCAGTGCAAATCACTGCACTTCAAATAATTGGAATGATGCATAGCAAACATCTGAAATGCTGAGTTATTTTAAGAAACAGAATATTGCTTCATGAGTAATGGAGAACATGAGAGGATTTAAACTATTCTTTTTCTCATCTCAGCCTCAAACTGGAGAGGGAACAAGATTTATAGAACAGTTTGAGACTAATTTTTGCTCTTACTTGAAGGAGGAGAGAATAAACTCTGTCCCAGAGCACTTATTCAAGATTATTTTTGTGGGCAATTCGAGTGTGGGAAAGACTTCATTCTTAAGAAGATTTTGTGAAGATCGTTTTTTCCCAGGCACAGCTGCTACTGTAGGTAAGTTTAAGAAACATGATTCCTATTATTATTTTTGTTCCAATAGTACTTAGCAGCCTCTACTGAGATAGGCCATGTGTTATAAAACAGAAGCATACAGCTGTTGTATAAGTAGGACATGCAAAGTGAGTTCTCCTAAACTGGGAAGCAGATAATTGATGGAGATGCGAAATCCTGGCAGCACTGAAATAAATCAGAAAAATCCTACTGATTGCAGTGAAGCTGGAATTTCCTTTTAGATCTGACTATTCTGAAATGGATATCCTGTCCTCCTGCTGCTTTGGAAGAGAGCAGGTCTCCTGGCTGTTCTGCCATATGGAATATGTTGATTACCAAAGAGCATCTCAGGTGTTGTATAAGTAGGACATGCAAAGTTTTAGGTTCTTGTGAGGAAAGAGCTGATTTCTACCCTCCCATTCTCTCCAAATTAATCCAGTCAGAAAGAAGAGCCTAGGCACCAATTAACCTGACCCTTGATGCCTACTTCAAGGTGAGCTTAGTAATTTCCTAGACTTCTAGGTTTTCACTGACTACATCTTTGTTAACTGGAATGGGAGCTTAGACACCCAAATGCAATTGTCTATTCATATGTCCTGTAGACCTGTATGCTGTGTCCTATTCGTGATGTTATGTATGTGGCCAATACACTTATCTGTAATCTGAGGTCTTACACAGCGTGTGCAAGTTTTCCAAAAGAAAAGGAGTGAGTCTGACCTTTTTCATCTTTTGGCTGATCATCCAGGGTTCTTGCAAAGAAAATGGCGAGAAAGTATTTGTCATAGCTTTGATTTTTAAGGTTCACATCAATGAGTTTCATAGGTGTGGACTATGGCTGGCAAGATACAGCCAGTTGAAAAGTCAAGTGAACAATCTGGAGAAGTGTTCTCATTGAATTTCTACAGAACAGTTCAGATTTCTTCCCTTGAGACATACGCAATGGATATGTCTTCAATGCAGATGTTGTAATTGTCTGTTGAAGGAATGCAGACGTAGATGTTTTTTCATTACTGCCAGTGGCAAAAATCCCACTGATGTGGAAAATGGCTCCAAAGAAATGGTTGATGCCCTACTGAGATCCCTTCCAACCTGAATCATTCAATGATTTTGTGGTTTTGTGATACAGTACACTGTGATACAAGAAAATGCAGATTGTCATTAGGAGGAGGCAGTGACTGATTGACATTTAAGACTCTAATTATTGTTATAAATATCCAGAAGATACTTACTTACATCTTCACAGGTTAGGGAAATTGGGAGAGGATTCATTTAAAAGTTTAGAGAAATTAATTTCTATCTTACTTCCATTTATCCCCTTAATTAGGGGGCTAATGTAACTGTAGTGAGCTCATCTTCTATATTCTGAACAGGGTAGGTAGGAGGTTCTTCACATATTCCATCCATTTATCTTCAGCATTTCCCTTAATTTCCATTGTCCCCTGTGCTGTGCCGTATGTTTTTCCACTAATTGTAGAAGGTGTTATGTGGTTAGCTCTGACTAAACTAACAAATTTCATACAGCTGAAGTTATACAGCATGAATTCCAGGCTAAATGGCTTGGACTGCTGTGGACTGTCAAATGGACCCTTGACTCATGTTCCCTGATTTGGAAATTGACCTACCTTACAGCTTTTACAATATTGAACTATGCTATTAATGTTCATTATTTTATTACTGAAGAACTTTGGGCAAATAAAAGCTCTCATTGTCCTCTGATAGTTGGAGACTATGGACATAATTCTTAATGTAATATCTATCTTGTAACCTTTCTGGAGTTTTTGCTATTTCCTGGATCCAGTTTTCAAACAGCATATAAAGAGAGAACTTACCTTGCATTTCTGTTGTAGGTGTGGATTACAACGTGAAGACTGTCACAGTAGATAATACCCAAGTTGCGCTGCAGCTCTGGGACACTGCTGGCCAGGAACGGTGAGAACACTAGTAGTCAGCTAAGCTGTGTAGCTGTTCCTTCACTCCCCCATTCAATGGGATGGAGGAGAGAATTGGAGGGGTGAGAGTGACAAAACTCCTTGTTTGAAATATGGACTGCGTGATGGAATTAACTCTATCCCAATCAAAACTAGCATACATTTTAAGGTTTTGCCTCCTTGAATCATCTGTTTGAAGATTAGTAAGCATGGACCTAATCCTGCATCTCAGGAGAGGAACAAATTCCTAATAGAGCCAGTTTAAATCCTTCCCTTGTGTCAATAGTGTGCTGATTTGCTGCGAAGTCCATTGAGAAACTGCCAATCTGTAAAAGAGATTCTTATTTGAACTCTTAAAAGTTTAACACCGCACAGTTTCTTTAGGAGGAAGACTGATTTTAAAATGAACCTAGAATTATTTATATGGCAGAAAATTTCTTAGCAGATAACAAAGAGAGTTTTTTATCAAAACAATCCCATTGTAGCCGAAGAACTCTAAATTTCTTTAAGTTTTCAGCGTATTTTTTTTCCCCATCTCCTCACCTGTTCTGTAGTTTTCTGTTACTAAAGAGCATTTAGTGAAGGGGAAATTTCTCCTCCAATCTTAAAATAAAGAGGGTGGGAGAAGGTGAGATATGCAGCTGGTTATCCAGCTTAACCCAGAATCAATTAAAGACGGCAGGAAGAACTTCTCCAAACAGTTTCTTTTAATTTTTTTTTTCCCCCAACAAATTACTTGTCTTTGCAGTAATGTGTGGGGTCTGGTGCTTCAAGAAGAATGAGATTGTTTGCTATGATTTATAATAAGCTTCATCTTTCAAACAGGGTCTGCAGTGAAAATCAGTATTACAGCTTCTCTCTTGACTAGTTTATGGAATTTTAGAATGCATAGGTGAGCCCCATTAACAGGGCTTTAACTCTTACTAGGTGATGATCAGAAGAAACTCTATGGCAGCATATTCCTTTGGGAAATGGAGGGGAGGGGGGGGAATTACTATAAATTTTTCTGTATCAGATTACTGCTTCTGTTGAAGAGAGCCATAAACACATTCTTACTTGTAGGTACCGAAGTATTACGAAGCAGTTTTTCAGAAAAGCTGATGGTGTCATTGTGATGTACGATATAACAGCAAAAGACACATTCACAGCTGTGAGGCAGTGGCTGATAAGCATTGAGGTAACATGACATAACTTTAAACTCTTGTGTCATTATTCTCTGCCTTCTTCTGAACAAGGGCTGTTAGCAGGGCAAATCACAGAAAACAGCATGTTTCTTGTGTTGTCACAAGTACATTTCTGCTCGTGAGTTTGGTCTGCACAGTTACCATTAAAGGTGTTTTTAATCTCTGTGAAAAAAACCCCATAGTTCCAGGCTTTAAAGGACTTCAGATATGGGCGTGGGGAAATCTCAGCGTGGAGCCCTCTGATTTGTCATAAAGGTAATTTATCTCATGACTCCCATGGGATCACTGCTAGTGTTGAGAGGCACTTTGATCGGTGATGGTGATCTGATGATCACTGATCAGCACTAGCAGTTTGACAACCAAGTCAAACCATGCAGCTTGTGGGAAATTGACCATATTGTGAACATAAACCATAAACTTAAAAATACACTTTGAAGTGCTACAAAGTACTACATTAGTGCTATAAAACTGTCTCATGATGGACAGTTCAGTTTCCTGGAAATCATTCTTTCAACCACATGAAAATAAAATCCTAGACCATGCCACCGAGTGACTTCAGTAAACTAAAAATTAAAACGTACTAAGAGTGTGAGCAGCTGAATTTGCTTGTGGCCAGAACAAAAAACAAAACTCAGGCTGCTGCCATGAAGGGCTGAGTCAGTGTGAACAAAGTGTGACTTCCTGTTTGTTCACTGAAAAAGTAAGGGACAAATTGATATGTAAAGATCATTTAGTCTGATTTTATTGGCCATGCGCTCTAATATAATACTCTGTTTTCCATAAAGACCAAGAAGTGGCTTTGTGAGTTCAAATTAGGACTCAGTCATTCGAATGTTTCCAAGCAGGCATAGTTATTCCACATGAGTAGTCTTACTTAAGTAATGTTAGCATGCATTTGATAAAAGCAGACCCTTATTAAATATATGATCTTAATAAATCAGTGATTTTTAATTCAGCATGGTAAAAGCTAGGAGAGCTTTTTAGATTTTGATTCAGAAAGATTGAATATTGTGGTTAAAACCTTTTTCCGAGCTGTAACAGTTCACTCTTCTTTACTGACTAATTTTGTTTGCTGCAAACTGTTGCTAAGTTGGACATACGGCCAAGTCCATTTACTGCTGTAGCATTCAGCCCACTTTATGAAGGCACTCACTGTGATAATTATAACCCTTTTCAGAATGAATTTTGATTTCTGTCTATTCTCTGTATTTTTGGGGGCCTATTCTGTGTATTTCTCCACTGTTTCATGTAATTCATTTGGCGTAATTGTACCCAGGTGTTGGCATTATTTTTCTTGGCTATGTAATTAGAAAAGCAATGGCAATAAACACACAATGTCTGAGCCTGTGTAGTACGGTGGTTTTCTCTCTTCCATTTTAATATAGTCTAATGAGCTTCTGTGCTGTTATTAAAAAAATGCCAAGCTAGTGTAATCTTAGCATTCTGTCTTTTTCATGTCTTTAATCCAACTTTAATTCCTGACGTGTTTGCAAGTAGAGTGCCACATACCTGGCTCATGTGTTAAGTCTTAAATGTCTTGTTATGGTGTGACATTTGTTAGCTTTTATCCTCTTGATCTGTGATTTTTTTTTTTTTTTAAATACAAGGCCTCACTCAGCTGATGTTTGTTCTTTATTCTGCAGGAGGCAACAGGGGAGAATGTGCCTGTCCTTTTGGTGGGTAATAAAACTGATAATGAAAAGGAACGTGAGGTCCCTATGGGAATGGGAGAGCATCTTGCTAAGGTAAGGTTCCCTTACAAAGCTTGACGGTGAAGGTTTTAAAATGGAGTCTCAGTGTGTCTAAATTTACAGAAACAGAGATTAATTTTGATCAGATGAGTATTTTTAAGGATTAGGAACCCCATCACACTCATCAGTTCAGCTCTCAGTGATGTAAGTGCTGATAATTATAGTAGTTATAACACTGTCTAGATTAAAAGAAAACATCCCCAAACCAAACCAACCAACAGAACAACAACAACAAAAAAAAAAACCAAACCAAAAAGTGAGTGGAGAAAAAAGTAATCTAGGAGTTCACTCTCGTTATCTCTCTTCTGTCTCTCTTCTCTTTTTCTCTCTATTTTTTTCTTCTCTTCTTTTTTTATTCCCTCTTTTTTTCTCCATTTTCTCTGTGGATGGATTCTTAAAAGAGAGATAATTTGGGGACCTTTTCTCCCTCCTACCTCCTGTAAAACCACAGAAGACCATCTGTTACTCCTGTGGTAGGAGTAGAAAACATGTTTACTTTTAGTAACTTTCCATCAAAGAGATAAAATGAGTTAGCAGTCTGCATCTATCACAGTACTGGTTATCCATGGGCGTAATTTAAGCATTAAAGGGACTGCAAATACTGGAGACTTGTTTATATTCCTGTGTGCCATGCCTATCAAATTTTCTTTTGAATCTTTCTATGCAGTGCATATAGTTTGAACATCAATGCCTGCAGAATATTCATTTATTTAATAATAAGTCATTTCAATATTCCTGAAAAATTAACTGAATATACCTAAATTACACAACGTGCTGGATTTCACATATTTACATGTTTCTCCTTTGAAAATAGATTTACAGCTCTGCTTGCTAGTAACCAAAAAGGGTATTTTTGAAATTTGAAATGCAGCTGAATTTTTCTTGCAGGATAGATTGCTGCAAGGCACTTCTCTATAACTGAAAGAATTAGGGCCAGATCTCTTTTTATCTTAATCTGGTTATTCATACAGCCTTTTGAAATTGTACCTCCATGTTCAGGTTTGTATCCATTATTTTGATTTTATAGGAGAGCAATATCAATCTGGAACTTTATCCCTCAAAGGTTCTCCCTGTGGGAAATCAGCTTTATTTTCTTGTATGCACGGAAATGCTAATAGCTTTGAGACCTTGGAGGCTAGAAGGGACTCCAGGGTGTAACACTGAATCCTGTGAAAAAACAAGTGACAAATAAATGCTAAATGGACAGAGAGTAGGTGTCTTGCGTGTCATCTCACTCTCTAAAAAAATTGTACTAGTTAAAAAAAAGATGAATCATTCTAGTATATAGAATTCACAGCCCACCAGGCTATTAATTCTAACATGTCATGCAAAAAAAAATAAAATGTTTTGCATAAGTAAAACAAAGAAAGTTGTCAAATAAGGTGGTTATAATCAAATGAATGGATCTGAATGACTCATTTGTGTGAATGTGCTGCCTGAGGTAGTTAAGGAATGATTAATGACAATGGATTAGTTGAAAAGCAGCATAGATATAATTAAATTATAATAATTTGCCTGCTGAGCTAATAATAACCATGAATTTTAATGAAATATTAATTCTTGCTAAATGACCATGTAATTCTTATGAAACCACATACCACTGTCTCTATTAGTGAACGCAACTGAGTTACCTATTTTGTGAATAATCACTTACGGTGAATTACTCACAAATGATCCAAAATACACAGGACTGGATGATGAGATGATACAAGTAAAACCATATTTGGTGAAAACAAGCTGCTCTTGTGCAGACAAAGAATCAGATTAGCCTGTTGACCCTGAAGTCCAACAGTTTTAAGGACTGTTTCAGTGTCTCATGGGATAGGTTTGATTTGACCTAGCTTTTTCTGTAGTCAGAAAGAAATGTCTACTTTCAGAGTCCATTCCAGCCCAGCTGTGTTAACCATTGTTTTGCGTCTTCCCTTCCAACATCTTGTAAGTCAGTGTACTACAAATTCACGTAACTCCTTTGCAAGGCAGGCAGCACAGTTCATTATTAAAAGGAAGAACGGCAGCCTGAAGAGAGTCCTTGTCATTTGAGAAGTCCTGTAGTTGCAGTTTGTGTTCCACCTTGTGAAAGGGGAATGGAATGACCATAGGGATCATGGAAGTCCATTTGACCTTTTTAGCTGAGGATCCAGAAAGAAAACTCCATTTAACAAATTTCTATTTAGCTTAGCTTGATCTGGTGTGATCAGGAGATCATATAAGCACAACAACACATAGAGTATTCAGACATCTTGTGAGCATCCAGGAACAGCTAATGTTCTATTTGAATGGATTAGTGTAGCCACTGACAATTATTAAAATAAAATGCTTTATGATAAAGGTGCGGCTCAGGCATGCTCATACTCAGAATGATTTTATTTTGGCCCTGCATGTATTTCCTGACAGATCTTAAACGGGTCAATAAATCCTTCTCTGTCACTCTTCCTCAACTATAAAAAAGATAGTAATGCCTTTGTCTGCCTTGACTGCAGACTATATATGCTTCATGGGATAAGGACTGTTTCTGTGTGTTCATACAGTGTCTCCTTTGTCAACCTGTCAGTGGCATTGTTACATAAATACTGCTAATGAGGGAGCTATTCTCAGTGATGCTACTTTACAGGACAGAAATTGCCCAGCTCCCTTTGGTAATAATTAATTTTCCTCACTGTTCTTTAGATGTCTGCTGATTTGTAGGTAAGTTTTTAAAATGGAGTAATTGGCAGTGCTTTCCAAGGTTCAATAGCTAATTCTTGGATGGAGATGGATGGCGTTCCCTGGCTTATTCATTATATGTGTCCTGCCTTCTGCTACTTTGTGCTCCTTGTGTATGCTATCAATTAAAGTTTCCTCTTTGAATCAAAGGAATGACACTTTGCATTTCCAGACTGTCTCCCCTTTCAGAGAAAACCTTTTGCCAGACAGAGAGAATTAAACCATTATTATCAATTGAGTTTAAATTGCTCTTTTTCCACCCATGCAGTTTGTTGAAAAATCCATTCAGATTCATACCAGTGTAAATGATGTCATCACTGGGAATTCTCCTCTAGTGACATTCTGCTGTATGTGGGGAAGATGTCAGAGGAGTATCATCACTCTCTGCTTGACTGACATAAAGTAGCTGGAAGCTGACCACAGTGAGTTTTCTGTTAGAGTCCTGACCAGCTCAGCAGAAAGAAGAGAGTGTAAATTTTATTTCAAACTTCTGTTTGCATAGCTAGCAAGAGATTTGACCCAGTCAAATTTTATCTTAAACCTTTCCTAAGAAAAGCAAGAGAATCATAGGGTTATGCAATTGTAAATGTCATACAGAACACTGATTTAAAAAAAAAAAAAAAAAAGCTATCCAACACTAACATTGCCTGATTTCTTCCTTCTCTGCTCTTCTGTGCATATCTGGCCATCCAGAAATTCCTGCAAGTGGTTCAGTCCTGTTTTTTTACTAGAACAATGTAACCATTAACAACATATTCAAAACTAACATGTTAACACTGAAGCCCTTTGTTAATGATGCTAAAATAAACTACCATATTTATGACAATTCTTTCCTCCACTTCTTGTCTCTGGAATTTCGTGAAGACAACAAAAATTTACAAAAGTTGTGTGAGTTTTGAAGCATATTGTATGTATGTAAAAAAGCCCTACTACAACTGGAATACCTAGTCATTTTAATGGGAGCCTTTGAAAACTGAATTATAAGTGTCTTATGAAGAGTGGTTAAATAAGTACTAATGCAGTAACCACAGTTTATAACAAACAAATGAAAATTTGCAGATGTGATTGTTATTTCCTAAAGTACTGACTTATTTATTTGAATTTTAAGCTACTGCCATAAATAGCAATAAGACACATAGAAAAGTGGAAAGTGAATAGAACCTTGAAATCTGGATGGGTAAAAGGACATGTTCTAATTCCATAGAGGCAGTGTAGATGAGCTGTAATGTAGTATGTTGTGAAGTTAGACAGATGTCTATTTTGCAGGATTATCTGTCATTCCCTTTCAAACTTCTTTGCAGTCACCACTGCCAGGTCAAGCTTTTGTGCAGATAATCTCTTGCATTTGCACTTATGGTGATAAGACTTCAGCTGAAGTGCTGAGAATTTCTCCAAGACTTGATCATTTATCTACTGTTCTTAATTGCAAAGCTCCCAGGAGGTACAAAACCAAAGGTGCAGGCTGACTGCAAGAGAAGGTGCAGTAAAAATTCACATATACAAAAAGATGAAACAAAAGTTACTGGAATTCTTTTCATTTGCTTTGTCCAGCACTCAGTGATGTACTAGTTGCCTGAGTGTCACAAAGAAAGTTCACAAGACTTCAGTACCTTACAAGGCATGTTTGTGTTTCAGCTCTTACAGCCAAAGCTACTGTATAGAACAAATATCTGCTAAGAGAATCATAAGGTTGTTGTTTGTGACCAGTACTTGGATTTCTTTTGTTACTCTTTAGTGTTAGTTCTAGAATTAAATCATAATTTTTCCTAAGATGATCTATTTCTGTTTCTTTATTTGCATATTTCAGCTTATCTGCATTGTTTTTTTTAAAACTGGAGCAAGATATTGTGCAAAAATAATTGAAATGGTCTTTTTGTTTGATTGTAGGATTACAATTTAATTTTCTATGAATGCAGTGCATGTTCTGGGTACAATGTGGAAAAGTCTGTGCTTCACTTAGCTAGGTAAGAAAAACACAGTCTATAAGTTCATGTGCCTGACTGCCCTGTCGTTGATAACAGAGTGAATTATCTTGGTTAAATTAGTTCTATAGGAACTTAGAGAGATTAAATATTTGTTCCTTTTAAACTGGTCTGTAGCCTGACCCTATTGCTCTGATTGAGTAGTTACTCAGGTGCATAAAGAGTCCTGTGTTAAGCTAGGGAAGCTCTGTATAGATCCAGAAACACATGAATTATTGCTAGGAAAGCTGAGGGCCTAGGATGTTGTGATAGGTCTTGCAAGAATGTCTTGAAGGTCTGGAGAAATATACTTGAAAATGGATGCTGCTGACTCCTTGCAGCTTCTTCCCTCTGCTCATTACAGCTGAAATTCTGCTGTCTGCCTGGGGGCTGGGAGACAGGGAGAAATGGATTTTTGAAGTTTTATAAAGGCTAGAGGTATAAATACAGGAAAATATGTCCCCTCTGAACTACTTACGGAAAAGAAGACAATGGTAATGAGTTGGCAAATCTTTAATATTGTTGCTGAAATGAGTGAAATTTTGTGAAAATGTCAAGTAATTGATAAGTGTCTAGGTAGCTGGATATGGTTCTGTTTTGTTCTGGCCTCAGAAATAACAAATAGAAGTCACTGTTTTGAGTCTCCATAATATACAATAAATGCTAACAATCAGCACTAAATTTTTCTAACTAAATGAAAGTAGGCAGTATTGTGATGGAGGCACCATAATTGTACTTTTCTGTTTGTTTGTTAGTTTGCAATGTTCTATCATTTTCTGTTGTTCTCTGGACAATTTTATAGGCTTGGGAAAATGCTTTTTGTTTGATCTCTTATGGGTATTATTGACTTTTTTCTCTAAAGCATTGTTTCTTTCCCCCAGGTTTTTAAAAGAACATGAAGATAAAGTGAAAGAGAAAACCATTGAACTTCAATCTGATATGAATAAAAAGTCTTGCTGTATCAGGCAATAAAATGCTGGGGTGTGTCATACGTTTATTTGACACTACATAGCACTGTCAGATTTGCTTTTATCTTCCAAATACTCTGCTGTGTTCTGAGTGTAGGTGTAAGTGAAACTTAAAATCTTTGTGTGCTCTGATCTCAGCTTTTATAAATATTATCTTTAGTTAATTGACAATGTATTTGGGGCAATAACAGTCTTTTAATTCTGTTTGATGCCTAACACCACTGAATCCTGCTTTATTATCAGGCTTGTGGAAGCTACCACTTTCTTAATAATTAGAAATAATTTTATAGGAAGAAAAACTACTTGGAATGTGAAGTAAATTCTTACTGGTGTTAATGACCTGTCTTCTGAATAGTGTTTATTTCAGAGCTATTTAGATCCTGATTTTGTGCTAACCTTTGTTACAGTTTTTTAAAAATTACTATAGGTTTATTTGTGGGTAGTACTAAGTATGTTCAGCTGAATGAACAGCTCCTTGTGTCCAAAAGTCTGTCACAGAAAGTTTCATGCCAGATGTTGGAGGTAGAATTTTCAGAAATGGCAGAGCTTACTTTGAGGAAGACTTAGCGAAACTTGCCAGCATTTAAGGAGTGAAAAATCTCACCAAAATCCAGTGAGATATTGCTCTCTTTAGCAATGTTAAGAAAAAATTCCTCTTCATGTACTTAAACATGTGACTGATTTTTCAAAAGCATCTGCCACACAGCATTCCCCCAGGGCCTGATCTCACTGAGATACAGTGTTTGAAAAATCAAACCCGCAGGGACATGTTTTAGAAAATCAGATCATAAGAAACGCAAATGTCATAATTAATTTTGAAAACCTTTGTAGAATATTTATGAGAAACAGAAATTTAAGAGTGGGTCACCCTTCCAGCATATGATCAATAATTATTCCTGTTGGTGTATGTCTTCACTGCATCGAGCTATTGTGGTAAGCATTCAAGAACAATTATCTGTGGTGGTGAGATTGTTTGGAAACTAGAACTCATGGCATAATTTCTTGCATTAAAATATCAAGCAAAACTGTAGATTTCATTATATGAGACTGTTAGAGACATTGTTTTTAATTCCTTTTCTAAATGTTTTTAAAAAATTATTTTTCATTTGAATAATGAATCAGTTTGAAACTAAGGATGAATGTTAAGCACTAGCTCAGTAAGTAACTTATTTTTGGATAAAAACTTTGTCGGTAATTATTGTGCTCTTGGGATTTCAGTCTGATCAAAGGTATGTATCTAGGTGCAAGAACTACACAATAGAGCTTTGCAGACTTTCCCCCACAGCAATTTCTATATCCATACCAGCACTCAAATACCCTTTTCTATGAGCTGGGATCCAAATATGAGCCCTTACCTATCAGGTAAAATAAGCAGCGTTTTAATTTTATTTCTATCAGTAATGACGGATGAATTAAGTAGCCCAGGATAAGCTGATGCTAAAGAGTTTTACCCTTGTTGATTCTTGAGAATCTGCTCATCCAAATAAAAAAAACCCTTTGGTTTCAGTGAGAGGCCTAAGAAGCTGTAAAACACAAAAGGACCAAAATTAAACATCCATTACTGAAAATCAGTAGGCTTTCTGTTCACTTCCCAGGATTGCTTCTTGAAACCATTACTGCTTGTGGAAAGATGAGTCATGTTATCGACTGTTGCATATTATCCATCATGGAAATCTTCTCAGAATTGAACCATCTGTTTTCAGTCCTGGCTGAAGCTGAACTAGTGCAGCCCCTTAATTTAAACATCAACAAAACTGACTCTTTATCCCAATTTCAATTAGGGAAGAAGTGTCATCAGTTTAAATATTGGCTGTGCTAATTGGCTTTGAATGATCTGTTCCCCTGCAGTAGGGTGTTTTCTACCTCATCAACATCAGAATGGCAGTATTTCTTCCAACCTCTGTCAACCTCAGGAAGACAGTTTGAAGGCTTAATTTCAGCTTTACTACTCATGACTCTAGCCCCACAAGCCCCAAAATTGAGATCCTTAATTTTTTATTCCCTTGAAGTTCATTTAAATTTTGAAGGACAATGACATGTGAGGTGGATTTTCTTTATGTGACTTCCACAGGATCGTTTTTATTTGGTCTTTTAGTGTGCACTGAGACCCTGCTAGCAGGGTATACACAACTTGAGGCCAAACAATGCTAAGGAGCAGCTTAGGTGGCAGGGATTTCTTCTACTAGAGACAAATCTGGTGCAGTCTAAGACCCAGGCAGTATCTTCTGTCTCAGACTGATAGCTGTGGCTGATGCTGTTCCTTTTTGCAAAACCAAAGCCAAAACCCAAGCAGAATATGTATTGCAGAGGTGCAGATACACACACACACACAACACTAACGTCATCAGCCACACAGACAACAAAGAGATTGATGTCTTCACTCCTTGTCACCCACAATACACAAACATCATTCCCATAAATAGGAACACAGCCCAAGCCTTCTCTTCTATTCCAGCAGATCAAGATTGAAGTTTGCTAATGAAAATATAGATGTACACAAATCCTGTGACTTGCAGTGCTCTCTCCCTCTCACTCTGCCCTCACCCTTTCCCCAGAATCATGCAGAAATTTGGTAGAAATAAGGTTTAATAAAAAGATTGGGTAGCCTGCAGCTATGGGACATAGGGCTTAGTCAGATAAGCAGCTTGCTTGCATTCACCTAGTCCCTTTTACTCTACCTTTTCTTGATTTTTTTCCCATGCTTCCACCATCCACCCTGACCTCTCCATTTCTTTGCCCTTCGTATCTCAAAGAAACAACTTGTCCCCAGTTGCCTTTTCCCTGTTTGCCCCAGGTTTTCTACATCTGTACCTGCATACATATTTCTTCTACCATTTCCCAAGTTGCCTCAGCTTTACAAGCTATTGGTGTAGTTACTTAGGTGCTGCTGGCGTTGCAAGTTTCCACTCCCAAAAGAATCCCTACTGTTCCATTCCAATTACATGTGAAGTTACTGCGTAACTCCCCCTTCTCTACCTGTGAAGTCCAGCCATTGCTCACAGTGCTGTCTGTAACTGTGACCGGCGTCTCGCTCTGTTATTTGCAGTGTTCAGAGTTGCTTGTGTCATGCCCAGAGTTTTTCATGGTCTGTTTGATTAGCTAAACCTCAGGCCAGGGCCTAGTCACCTGTTAGCACACCTGAATAAACAGAACTTACGGATTGAATAATGCTTACAGAATACAGGTATGAGTAACGTGAAAGGACTCTGGTTTTGGACAGATTCTACTGTCCAGGTGGTCATCAGACCAGTGTGGGAATTGTCAGCTTTCCATTCTCCTTAATGCCATCTGATCTCTGTTGCTGGATTGCTGTCTTCTGACTCTTCACCAGAATTTCGTACTTCCTGTCAGTATTTTTCTCAGATCTTCAGAAATTTAATACTGGCTTAGTAGCAGTTAAACTTTCTTTCTTTTCCCTTTTCCTCCCTCTCCCTCTCCTTCTCTCTTTTTGAATTAGCTTTAGTTTGCTCACAGTCTCCCCATCCACCTCTTTGCAAAATCATTTTGAATGAAGATAAGCCAAGATCATGATACAACTGTGCATCGTGGCCTCTGGGTCATGGAGTCTTCCATGAAAAAATCCATAGGTGATGTAAGATCAGTGACAGTAGTGTATTCTTTTAGGGATGTATAAGGTCTTGAAAATTTCCATTACTAGAATGAAAAGTACCAACAACAGAGAATGAGAAATTCTGCTGAAAAGTAGCTCTTTACGCTCATCAGGCTTCATCTTCTCAAGTTCACTGATGTAACTCCTTGACTCAGGAATGTTTCTTCTGATGTCACCCTGTGTACAGTAAATCAGCTCACAGGCAGCGTGCACCTACGTAAACTCTTAGAGAAGATGATGAGTTGGTAGGAGAAAGTGGGAGGAATTAATCTCAGCCTGGTCAAGTACCCAATACTAACAGATCTTTGGGTATCATCATGCACACTACAGTGTATTTGCATGGATATACAGTGCTCCCTTTGGAATGGCAAGATCATGACTTACTGTGAGCCAGTTAAAAGTGATTCCAGCCTGCCCAGATGCGAGCCGAGCATCAGTGGAAAAAAAATCATTGCACACCATAAGCTTACTGAGAGAAGTGTACAGCACCTCCTCCCGTGACATATTTATGGAGTAATCTGCTTAAGGTGGGAACTGCTCCACACACAAGGAATGTGTGAGGAACAGACCACGCTGAAGAAAGTTTGCCTCTGAAAGAACTGCAGTCAGTGGTCACTCCCCATGCTGGAGCAGGGACAAATGAAGAACAGGACAACTGGAATCCCTATGCTCAAGACAACTGGAAGCGTTGAGCACTGAATGGCAGAAACCATATTACTTGGTTTGGCCCAAGTGTTACACACATTGCCTGTTGGCTCACTGGGTAAATTCTAACAGAGTGTACCTCACTGTGAAAATAGAGGAAACTGAAATTTGGGAGCAGAGCAGAGGAAAAAATGTACATGAATGTTTTTGTCAAATGGTCTGCATTCTTTTTTTTTCCCCAGAACCTGAATCATCGATAAAATATTTGTGTTGCTTCATAGTAAATTAACTCAAGTAAAATTTCCCAACTTGAGACCGTTTTTGTTTGCAACATCCGTATATTGGCAGAATTTCTCACCATGTGAGATTGTTTTGGAATAAATCCACTTCATCATCTGCACAAGTGGAAGCTTGTTTTAGAAAGCAGAAAGATGCTCATAAAGCTAATCAGTAGCAACTTCCTGAATTCATCCACAGCTGTTGAAATAATGGGTCTTTTTGGTTATTGAAATTACAGGAATTGCAATAGCACTCTCATACGCTCCTGAAAAAAAGAAAGATGGACACTTTGACCTGTTTAGACCACAAACAACTAAAGTTCTTTTAATATGAAACTAGTAAAAGACAACTGATTATTATATGATGAAAATAGGCTTCTCAAGGGAAAAAAATCTGTAGGTTAAATTTACAGGGCAGGTATAAAAGTTCCTTCCTATTACTAATCTGAGATACTGTATGTAGTGACATTGATTCCTTCCAAATGTACTGGAAGTTAAAGGACATCTGATTAGTCAGATAAGCATTGCTTCCTCCCTTTCAAACACTGAAGAGGAAAGTGTTTCAAACAAATCCAGCTACACTGGAAAATGGTGTTTAGCTTCTGAAGTTATCAGTCTCCTTCCAGTGCCTTTTCTGCAACATGCTTCTTTGGGGCACAACAATCATTGCAAGTCTTCCTATTCCTAGAAGAATCCAGATTCAGAGGAACTTTCTCACTGGAAATTACTGGTTTTCACTAAAAGTGAGTAGGGAAGCCTGTGGAATGGAGACATTCAGGTAGAATATTACATGGCTCTGAGTC